ATATATATATATATATATATAATCACCTGATGTCCACACTGATTTAGAAGAATTCCAGAAACACTGATAAATCAAAGCAAAACTGTAGATATAATGCTAATGACCTGTGACCGCCTTTTTAAAAGAACAAAAAAATAGATTTACCTCAGTGTGGTTACATGTTCCCAATAATTGATTGTTTTTCTGTGTGTTTAGGTAGGTTTGAGTCACGTAATCATGGCATTATGGTATTGCGTTCTCTAAACAGCAGAATGAGAGAAGTTGTCTGTCATTATTCTACTGACAAGACTTTGGAAATCCAAAGTACTTTTGAAAATCTGTCACATTACCGTAAAGGGAATAATGTAATGAATGTTGATGGACTGTCCACCCACCCACTGTCATACTCTGAACTAATTACCTAGGCAGGCACCATAACCTTCAACTCTCTGTTAACAGATTGTCCAGGTTTGAGTGTCTCCTTGAGGCTCATTGCTGTCCTTATGTGTCCGGTGGTAATCATCAATGTCACCAAGCATGATATTAGTATGCTTCAGTAAAACTTTATTCGGATTGTCCACCTACAGATAGTTCGCAATCTGTCAATTTGTTGTTCATTCTGTCATCATTCATGCTCAGAAAAAAGACAAGTTAAACTGTCAGACCCATTTTTTCCTCACCGCTGAAATGTAAAATAGAAAGAGTGGGAGCGGTTCATCCCATAGCGCTTCTGTTATCTGCAGCCTGATTTGAAAGTACCCCACATCTTCTGGCAGCAGTTTATGCATCTCCAGTAGTGACGTAGTTCAAAGTGCTGTTACTTTGGAAATAGGTCCACTTCATGTGAGAGTGGGAGGAAGACTGTAGTCTTTTTTTATCCTGTGGGAGTGTACGCCTCTTCCTCCTACTGCACGCACAACCTCCACATATCAATTTACTTGTGGACTTAGATAACACAGATTTATACCACTGACCTTATAGCTTTTGTCAACATTTCAATGCCCAAAATACAATATATATATATTTGTGATTTGGGATGCCGGTTTTGTGGTATTCTACCATAACAAAATGGACATAGTAGTACCTGGCCAACAGGTACTACTGATAGCCTTGGTGTATATTTGCCGTTCTGAGTGCTTTCTGTGTTTTTATTTGACAATAATATACCAAATTGTTTTGCTTAAATCGCTGAACACAAATTGCTAAACTATTAGATTTCCACATGACTCCAGAGGTCAGAACCATTCACACGCTTGGCCTCAGTGTGTAACAGTATTCTCCAGACTTTTACACCGTTAGATCAGTTTTATATGTGTTTATTTAACCACACGATCACATCAGTATTCGGTGCAAACAACTTGCGGAGATGATCCTCCTCGACTCACTTGTTTATGCCTTCAGCATGCTGTTTGAGTGAAACTAGAAGTGCCGCTGATGATCATATATGGTAGCTGTTTCACACCGGGGATGCCCTCGTTTTCATCGAGGCCCTGATGACGACAAGGACGTCACTCTCACATGTTTTACTTTCAGCCATCAAACAAGGGAACCACTTGCGTTTCATCATCGTGTCTCAACTTGTTTGTGAGCCCTCAATGGTTTTCATGGATATTATTATTACTAACCCAGGGACATATTAGGATGTCTGCGTCACTGACTGCGTGAGGGTGGATTAGCCTGAGGCTTGTTTCCAGTGGCACTGGAAACACCTACATGTTCATTTCAGTCTGATGGTGAGTTTGAAAAACATCTAAATAACGCACTGAATACTGTACATGCCCTTATTTAAGTAGCAGTAGGCTAAGTATTAGATGGCAACACTTCCAGTTTATAGCCGAACAGCAATGTCACTTAACAATGCTATAAAACCTCTTATATCTGTCTATACACCTATACCTATCATCTTGTGTATACAAGTAGATATCTACATGGACATCTATTTTATCTCACATGAATGTGTGAGTGGAAGAGGCTGTGACGGAGGTATGGGAGTTGAAACGTATGTGCTGCACATGCGCCACACTTCTCACCTTTTCTCTCAGCCTGACTCAGAGCACGGGGCAACCAACACCGGTCATGACAGGCTAGCTCTTCCTGCCATCTGGTGCTGGTCTGTTCCTTATGTGGAAACTTGTTATTCTGAGTATGGATTACGCTGCAGACGCCGTTCCGTCTGTCGGCCCAATGAATCAAGACAACAACCGTTTTGATTGGCTTCTTTGTTTGGTTTGTTTCAGTGGTTATAAAGCACAGTACTTTAATTAGATATTTCAAAAAGATTTTATATTATGGAGTGTGTCGCTTAATTAGACTTAATCGACCGACCCACTCATACAAATCCTGTATGTTCAGAACTCTCTTCGTGGTTTTTGTTCACTAAAACACGGCTAATTGTCTCATATACGGATCGAAGCAATTAAATGAAACAAATATGTGCGTCTTGTATTAATTGGGAAGTGATGATTTCTTACATCTGGCTCTTTTCCACTGATCTGCCTGGTCCCGACGATCAGTTCATGCAAAGAGTCTCTCTAGAGCAGATGGTGAGACAGTGTCACAGCAGTGTATTTACATGTGTGAATGGAGGTCAGTATAGTGTGAGAGATATAAATTCACACCAGTGAGTCAGGATGGAAATAAGCCTGGTTAAAGGCAAGAGATAGCCTCGGCTACTTGGGGTCATTTTGATTCACGCTTTATACGTCCTACAGCAGTGGTTCACAACATTCTTTCAAGAATACACCCCAGCATGACATTTGTTGGTAGAAGAAAACGTGTTTGCTGCAGCCGTTGGTAGTTAACAGCAGTTAACGGTTGCATAGAAAATAGGAATATTGAATCTTGAATGTGGTTTATCAAACTTGCCTTTACTTTTTGTTATTTAACTTGTTATAGTATCATTATTTTAGAAATGATGCATGAAAATTAAATATTAACGTACCCTTCAAAGTACCCCTAGGGCGCTAGCGTCCCCATTTGAGAAGCACTGTCCTACAGTATACAGGTGCATCTCAATGAATTAGAATATCATCGAAAAGTTAATTTATTTCAGTAATTCAATTCAAAAAGGGAAACTCATATATTATATAGATTCATTACACACAAGGTGATATATTTCAAGCGTTTATTTCTTTGAATTTTGATGATTGTGGCTTACAGCTAATGAAAACCCCAAATTCAGTATCTCAGAAAATTAGAATATTACATAAGAACAATTAAAAAAAAGGATTTTAATACAGAAATGTTGGCCTACTGAAAAGTATGTCCATGTACATTGTACAGTATGCACTCAATACTTGGTCGGGGCTCCTTTAGCATGAATTACTGCATCAATGCGTGTGGCATGGTGGCGATGAGGCTGTGGCCCTGCTGAGGTGTTATGGAAGCCCAGGTTGCTTTGATAGAGGCCTTCAGCTCGTCTGCATTGTTGGGTCTGGTGTCTCTCATCTTCCTCATTACAATACCCCATAGACTCTCTCTTTGGTAGAAAATAGAAAAATATCTATTATCTACGCTGACTGAAGACACTCAGCTCTATGCCCTCCTTCATTCACCTGAGCACTTTATGGGATCAATTTGTGTTTATTTAGTCGAACCATGTTAGTCTTAAGTGTCAAACCCATGCAAGCAAGCGCTCCTAGTGTGGCGCTCCCGTTGTGCAGATCTGTAAATGGCCTTGTTGAAAGCTGTGAGTTTGACTGTGTGTGTGCACATGTGTGCATGTAATGTTTAAAAAGGGAGGGAAATTATTCACAAAAGACGATTGCAGCTGACTGAAGGGGAAAAGCTTAAAGTGTCATGAGCCTCGGTGTTGATGCAAAAATCCTTGACGAACTTATGTCCACGTGTTCAATGTTGTCTCTCCTTATAGTTTTCCTAAACATTGTGTAGTATCATGGATCATTCAGTTTACAGTGTTGTTCAGCTATTTCATGCAGAATAAGATAAAAGCCACGTCATAGGAAGCCTTCTATTACTCATAGTGGACCATCGAACAGGGAGATATCCTCAGCCAACATACTGTTCATACTGAACATTCACAGACCGCTGACCGAGACGTTTTGATTGCACAGACGTTTTGGCAGGCGCTGCTACTCAGTCTGGTCCAAAGTTAAGGAGCTATTGATGAAGTCCAAGAGTTCACACCAGTAACCAGCTACAGGTACTGCGACACATTGGCCTCATTAGATCCTTATAGCAAATCTGTTGACTCAATACCAACAGACAGTCAGAGAGAGTCAGTGGAGCTTTAAGAGAGACAGATTTAGCCTACACACAAGAGGATGGAAATAAAGAGAGAGAAAGAACATCTAAACATGGTCCTTCAATTAGAGCATTAGGTGGACATATCCACTCGGATAAATTTGTAGTTTAGACGGGGGATGTATCACAGACATACACTTCCTCCTATACTCAAGGGACAATAGGCTGGCTCCTGAGGAAAAAAACTGAAAACAATCAAAACAATCCCAACCATTCAGATGAGATAATAAAATGATTGTAATTGGACAATATGAACATTTTATTTATGTATGTCAGTCTTTATTTAGCCATCGACCGATTAATATACAAGAACTGATTTTCAAATGTACTTTATTTTCCACAGCCGTTTCAACATTAACAGATATTTAATGCAGAAAGAAAACTACAAGACAAATGTAGATGAAACATTTGATGTCGAATGTAAATGTGCTTATTGCCTTTTCTATTTGTCTGTTGTTGTCCTGTCTTATGCCCCAATACGAATTAAATAACAACAAACCGTGTTTCTGTTACGTATCACAAAGTATACAAGCAATGTTGTTATTGCAAACAACAACGCTGCAAAAAAACAGCAGTGCAACATTGCAGTGATTTGTAAGGATGACGAGAAATTTGATCACACCCGATTAAAGACATCTACTGTTATATCACTGTATTTTTTATTTTTTTGCAGAGTCAGAGAACTTGTAGGATTATGCGAACGATTACGCAGTGCGCACCAAACACTTCACCCACATTGACCATACACACACTTGTATAACCGTTTAGATAACAATCGGCCGCTGTGAGCGAACCACCGACACCGCTTCGTTCACCGGGCAGCAGCGTCCTGGTCGTCGTAGTGATTTACTCTCGCCTCCGACACAAGACTGGTTGCCGTGGGTTTCCACGTGAAAAGCGGCGACATCCTTATGTAAAAAGACTGACAGCGCCGCGGAACCAGCAGCGACGCGGAGCGTCAGGCGCCGTTACCGCCCTCGTGGGGGGCGGACGGCGCCTATTGGTTCGCAGCGCCGTGAGGTAGAGAGGGACGTCTCTCCGCACCAATGGGCGAAGAGCCCAAGAGGCGTGGCTCGACGAGAGGTCAGCGCCTTCGCTGGAGATCCAGGGTGGAGGGGGTGTATCAGGAAACCTGAACGAGCGGAGTGTCAGACCCACACCAGACCACACCAGACCAGCACTAGGATCGTCGGTACCTGCACGCTTTCTCTAGTCGGGACCATAAAGAGCTCTAAAAACAAGACCTTACTTCACGGAGACAGCGGGATCAAGAGAGGAATTCCTTCTTTTTTAGTGAGGTTGGTGTAATTTTACTTGTAGTGTGCAAGATGTAACGTTAACGTACATTATTGCTGTGTGATTGACATGCTTTTTTTTAAATGCAACATAAAGCGCTAACGCGATCTGCTCCGAATTATGTAAAATAACTATGTATGAACGGGAAAGCGTGGAAGTTGCATGTGTCAGTCAGTGTGAGACTCGATCCCGGTCAGTAGACTAACACCAGGCCAGCAGCCCTCCTGCCCACGGGACAGCGCGGACGTAATCCCATCCTGAATAACAACTTTGCTGCATCGCCATAAGGCATCAATGTTAGTGCGTAACGCGTTTGCCCCTCTTATGTAAACGCGAGGTCCGCAGGGCGCAGGTCACCTGTGGTGTTTCCCCCTCCTGCAGCATTAATAGGTTAACCTATTAATGCGGCTTGCTGGCTGTGAGGTAAAACATCTTACATAAAGAGGACTTTGCCTCTTGGAACCATTCGTTCATTCATAATAATTAGTTTTTGACAGCTATGTTGAAGCTGTCTATGGCAGGGGTGGGAAGTGTTTTAAAGCCAGCTGCTATAAATAGCCCACCATTTGGTGATACTTCAACTTAAGTATTCACTTTTTTTAATAGTTAACTTTAATACATTTGTTTAATGCTAGTATTCAGCTGTAGTTACAACCCAACCCCCCAATTGTCTCTGGGCTGCAGCAATCTGAAAGCACGAAGATACAAGACAGTATCAGACATTGCTGGAGTCTAAATAAAAAACATCAGTAAAAAACTCTTTACTGTTCAGTGTATTGATAATTCAATGGTTCACTGCTGATACCTGATTCCATTTTACTTTTAATCGTTTGCTTTTACTTAAGGTGAAAGTTTTTTACTTGGGTAAATGTTGTTATTTATGAATGGAGCTTTAAATCGAAGGAGTGCACTGATGAATTAAATGTAATGGCACATGTGTGCATGGGTTGAGTCTACTTTGCCTAAAGGATCATAACGCCAAGTGAAGGAAAAAGCCATCCAAAAAGCAGGCGTTGGTGAAGAAAAGATGTGTTAAAGATGACTTTTGAATTAATTTAGCTCCTTAATCATTTTGGTAAAACAGTCTTAAGCATAATCAGTGACTCTTTTAGTGTGCCACACCATTGGGTGGTCCAGCATCATGCAGAATATCAGCATAATATGGAATAACTAAGTATGCAGTGTTTCACTCTAATTGAACCACTCACTGTAAACTTATGTAAGCTATCATGCAAATTAAATCCATTGTATAAGATGGTGACTACACACTAATTCAAATATTATATAAATATTAGGAAATCTCTCACAGGCTCTCTCCTTTAGGAAAGCTGAATTCACCACTGCAGCGTTGGCTAGACCTTGGCCAAACATGTTCAACATTTTGCTTCCAACCCTGATTAAAATCTTAAAAAAAACAATCAGTTTTTTGTCAGATAGATTTGACTTCGTCTCTCAGATGCTGCAGCAACCAATGGTGGTATTCAGATCAACACTGTCTTTCAAGTGGAGGAACTTTTGAAAGGGTTGGAGGGCTCAGATGGGACAGCGCCACTGTTCTTAAAGGCCACGCTGTCTCTACAAGTGAGCATTTTGACTGTACATCAGAGACTCACCTGCGGGGCTCTTCAGGGGTCAGGGGTTAAACCCTGCTGTGTGTTTTGATATCACACCAGACAAAAGACACCTTTTTGAAAGAAGCGTTGATTTGTTTTGAAAAGATCTTTTTGAATTTGTGGACGCGAATGAATCACTACGTCCTTGTGTTGAAAAACCATGCCAGTGTTTTGGGGATATTTTGACCAATGTCATACAAATGATGTATATTTTGCATACTGCCGATCATTTACAAAAGCATAATATAAAGTTTGTATTGTGTTCCTGTTGTCTAGACAGCCTCTGATTTCAGTTCATGTCAGTTTGGCATTAAAATGCTAAAATTATTTTTTTTCACTTGAACACGAACTAGTGTAATTATCTGTTGCAGTCATAAGATTCCACCATATTTAAAACAAGGGTTCCTTCATTACTAACACGTATAATCTTCCCTCAACAGATCAATCCGTGACCTCTTTCATTCTCTCCGGCCTCAGCCTTGTGAAAATGGGCTGATAGCGTTCTTTCATCATCCAATTACAACTAACCTTGAACGAGCCCACGGCAGCACTCCCCCTCATGATGTCGCAAGATTCAGACTCCAAACCCTATCGCTTCGCGGTGCTGGAGGACCAGGATGGAGACTCCTGCAGCTCCATGCCAAGGGGGGCCTCGGGGTGCAGCTCCATGGCACAGCTCCACCGGATGGGCGGCTACAGCCAAGGTGGGGCTGACTTAGGCCTCCGCTCTGAGGGCAGCGACAGCAGCGGTCAGGACCCTCCCGCCTCGCCGCACAAGCATCGCAAGAACGCCCGCTCCCGATCTCTCCCCGAGGAGGACGTGGAGATGAAGAGCAGCGGGTCCAGCGGGAGCGGAACCGAATCGCAGGGCAACGAAAGCCACGGCAACCAGAGTCGTGGCAATGAGAGCCACGGCCACGAGTCCGAGGTCAGCTCCAATGGCACCAGTAAAGACTCGGCACTGCTGGAATCTTCTGAAAGCAACAAGAGGTCAGTGGTGGTTGTTTTCCCATTCCTCTTTTTAGGATTAAACTGACCGATAGCTGAAAATGATGCAGGATTTCACTTCTCATCCCTCGTAGTTAACCTTGACCTATCCATATATAGGCTGACGTCTTTTAGGCATCCACTTAACCTTCCATCACCGCAGTTTGGACATAATGAATGCAGCTCTCAGCACCGGATGTGTTTTGTCGGCATTCACTAATGTCCCGAGATAGGTGAGCCAAGGCCTCAGTGATGGCCGTCCAGGACTCGTGTTTGAAACACAAGTGAACTCTCAATCGGTTCTATCTGACACCATGAGGTGTTAAACTAAAATGTAAACACAGAAATATTTGGATAATAGCTTTTCTATTACATCCTTGTTGCGTGGCATAAATTTGTAGGTGGTATCTGGGGGGGGGGGGGGGATTAGAGTGTCGGGGTGGCACTGAGCACATTAGCAACAGCAGGTGTCTCGGCTGGGGGAGAAGTAGGTGTGTCTTTGTGTGTGAAAATTGTGAAATTTGTGCTTCAGAAATATCCAAAAATGATGCCAACATTTTTTGTAACCGAACAGACGACTGTCTCAGTTTTGATTTAGTGAGGGAGGAGTTGAAATCAGTAGATTAGTTGCGAGTCTCTCCCTCTCTGTCTGTGTCTGTCTTCGAGGGGATTAAAGTAATATTTTTTTGGCTGCAAAATGTTGAATTGTTCTTCTCTTCCCCACAGCTCAAACTCTCACAGTCCGTCTCCTCCCAGCAGCTCAAACGCCTTCAGCCTGCTGAGCTCAGAGCAGGAGGACAACCCTTCAACCAGCGGCTGCAGGTTAGTGCACTGACCACCGCTGTCACACTGAACACATTAAAACATGGTGCACATTCTCTATGATGAGCTTTTTTTAAAATCTCTTTTTGAGGGAATATGTGACTGCAGTATCTGACTTGCCGCTGTGCATGCGCGTGTGATTGTGCATCTTGCAGTAGTCAGGAGTCTGCCAAAGCCAAGACCCAGAAGGAGATGATCAAAACCCTGAAAGAGCTGAAGCATCACCTGCCCGCTGAGAAGAGACACAACAGCAAGTCCTCCACTTTGAACACCCTCAAGTACGCGCTGCGCTGCGTCAAACAAGTGGAAGGTAAAGTGCATTCACGTCTCTCTGTTTGTGGCTTCTCTGCTCGTGTCTTACTACACAGTGCTTTTTTTATCATCTGTTCCATGAAAGGAGCTATTATTAAGCTATAACAAGAATCCTATTTCTGTTCTTTGGAAATCAGGAAGCGTCGTAGCTAAATGTGATCCAAGAAATAAATAAAGACGTGACTTTGTGTGGGAGGGAACATTGTCTAGGCAGATCTATGGGTAATGGTCTGTAAAGGCTTAATTCTACCCCGCTTAAATGTTTACAGATGGAAGTGGGCGGGTAGAGGTTCAACAGTACCGACAGTTTGGTTGTACGGATTACGACGCATTTTAGCGTAGCACTGAGACATTTGTAATCATAAAAAAATGTCTGTGACTTCACTATAAAGAGATCATCTTTTTGTTGAACTTTTTGGTTCATGTTGCTTTCAGCAAAATATCGGTTTCCACATACCATCTATTCTGTTTTGTATATTTTGCTGTGATCAGACTTTATTAAAATCGCTATCTGCGTGTTGCAGCCAATGAGGAATATTACCAGCTGCTGATGACCAATGACAGTCAACCTTCAAGCCTGGATGTGTCCTCTTATACGATTGAGGAGATAGACAGCATTACCTCTGAATACACCCTCAAAAACAACGTGAGTCACTGGAGTATCTTCAAGCTAAAACAAATATTTAGATATTTTTCTCTGCATATACTGGTGTAATGTTTGTGAGCAGAAATCCTTCAATTTATTTGAGCAGTTAGGTACAAGTTTTCTCATCTATCCCCCCATTTGGATTTCCTCAACAGGACATTTTTGCAGTCGCAGTTTCTCTCATCACCGGAAGGATAGTCTACATTTCTGATCAGGCTGCCTCCATCCTCAACTGCAAAAGAGAAGTGTTCAAGAACAGCAAGTTTGTGGAGTTCTTGACGCCGCAGGATGTTGGTGTGTTCTACAGCTTCACGACGCCGTACCGGCTGCCCTCCTGGAGCATGCGCACTGGAGCAGGTAAATATGTAACGACTAGGCAGCTCTCTGCTGACGCAGTGCCAATACAAAGCTCTAGATAATACACAATGACTGTTAATAAGATCTCTGAATAGTAAGTCTGCGTATAGGTGACGAGCACAGGCTGCCATCAACGCGGTGGGTTAAGTTTACCTTAATTATTCATAAAACTGATGACGTTTGCCCCTCTCAACCAAGCAGGATAGAACAGGCTGAGCTGTCTCATGGGCTAAAACGAAATATGTCAATGATGAGATGTGATTTGTCCCCCATATGCCTGGAAATATTTTGGCTAGCACATCAACTTTAGCATCAACTCTGTTTAAATTCATTGCATTTAAGTGCAGAGCTGCGTTCCTCAGTGAAGTTTATTTGATGGAATTAATCTTCATCACCTGCTGGAGCCAAGACCCCGAATAACATTCCGCTAGATCATGTTGCTTTTGAATTAAAACGTTAATTTTTTTCCCCGTTTCAGAGTCATCGCCGCCTGACTGCATGCAGGAGAAGTCCTTCTTCTGTCGTATCAGGTGGGTGTGTGTGTGTGTTGGTTCAAACCCGGCGTCGGGCCATCTGCTGCTCGAACCTGTGTGTAGTTTTTATTCATACTTTCATTCCACTGTCGATGTTTTTCAATTAGTTAATGACGTCATACGCTTGTAGAAGAAGATATTTTTTCCAGGCCAATGTCATACATACAGGCAGACAGACAGACACACGCACACCTTACTGCACTTGTGAGGACTTTCCATTCACTCTTTTTTTCAAACCTTTCCTCAAGTTCTCATTTTGATGAAAAGATGAAAGAAGAGATCATTACACTTTAGGTTTCTAACTCTGAAGAACAGAAATAACAGAATGAACACGCACCACTCTCATTAATTGTATACAGATATGAAGGGAAACATAGCTAAACACTGCCTCCTTGTGAACCTGGACAGGCGTTATTTGTGAAAACTTGTACTTTGTTTGAAGAAACACATCTTTATAAGAGCCCGAGCACTGACCTAGGGTCGGTGAGACCCTGTTGAACGGAGGAAGAAAAATAACTGGCAGTACCTTCGACATGCGGGAAGGTGCGAAGGCCCGTTAGTAGCTGCTTGTAGCTTTCATTTGAACTCATCTTTTCTTCTAACTCATTTCTAGTGGCGGAAAGGAGTGCGAGGGCGATCTGCAGTACTATCCATTCCGCATGACACCCTACCGGATGAAGGTCCAAGACACGGTGCATGCGGAAAACCAGTTCTGCTGCCTCCTGCTGGCTGAGAGAGTTCACTCTGGTTATGATGGTGAGAACAACTCCTGTTTGTTTGATGGTGGTCCTCGGTCAGTTTGACACTGTGTACATTTGCTGTTGGAGTTCATCTTTGTGTCATGCTTTACATTCACTGTACTTTTCTCTATAATCAACTAAACGCATATGGAAAAAATGTCAGATTTGGTCAAGTTATTAGGAGCTGGGAAAAGTATTGTTATCTGAAGTAGACAATTCTGTTCCGTCAAGGCATTTTGGTTTATTTTTTTAAACCAGTCCCAGATCTATTTGAGATAGAAGAAACATTAGTAAATAAAATCTTTTCTCTTTCTTAAAGCGCCCAGAATTCCAACAGACAAATGCATCTTCACCACCACACACACTCCAAGTTGTGTGTTTCAGGATGTAGATGAGAGGTAAGCCATTGTGGGATGTTTCTACTTCTAAGTTAAAAGTTCTGAGTATTCGAGCACAAAACACCCAACTATCAGAGGATAAGAGAATTTATGCAATTACTCGCCAACTAACAGAGCGATGTGTTTTGTGCGTATCAGGGTGGTTCCTCTCCTCGGGTACCTCCCCCAGGACCTGATTGGAACACCGATCCTCCTCCACATTCATCCCAGTGACCGACCGATTATGTTGGCCATTCACAAAAAGAGTGAGTCTACAGAATTGAATAGATTTCAGAATTCCCGGTGTCCGCACCAGAAATCTGTCCCCATCATGATTCTGACTCTGATACTTTGGCTTTCTCTGCAGTTCTTCAATTCGCAGGACAACCATTTGACCACTCATCCATCCGGTTCTGTGTGCGAAATGGAGAATACATCATTCTTGACACCAGCTGGTCCAGTTTCGTCAACCCCTGGAGTCGCAAAGTCTCCTTCGTTATCGGAAGACACAAAGTGCGCATGTGAGTATCACTGTCTTGCCGATATACTGTCTGTCATAGCTGTCAATAAGCCACTCTTTGAAGTTCCCAGTGTTTCGTAGAAAGACATTTATGATTTATGGGGCTGTTTGATCTTGATCTTGATTTGCTGATGTGCTTTTTTGTTTACCAGGGGTCCTGTGAATGAAGACGTTTTTGTGGGCCCGGTGTCCGCTGTCTGTGAGATGAAGACCATGGAGTCTGACATCCAGGAGATTACTGAGCAGATCCATCGGCTCCTGCTACAGGTGAGACGGGATAAAGACGTATAGAAATCATTTACACATAGTACTGTTTATAGAAGAAGAGGTGGTTTTATTTAAGCGATAGAAGAGATGCAAATGCTAATATATACAGCTGAGGGATTAGAGCAACATCTTACTTCCAAAAAAAAAAATTTCAATTAAAAAAACGGGACATATCAGGGTGGAAATTGTAAAACCAATTTTCTTTCAACTGTCTTACCTTTCTATATCTGTGCTCAGCCGGTCCATAACAGTGGCTCCAGTGGCTACGGTAGTCTGAACAGAAATGATCTTGTGGGCATGAGCTCCTCTAGCGAGAGCCTTAACAACGTCAGCAGAACCAAGATCCGACAAGAGGAGGAGGAAGTGAGCGGCAAAGCCAGACCGGTGAGTAAAGCTTAAGTAATAGTGCAATGTATTCAAGCCCATGTGGTTCTGCATCACTGCAGGGTGATATGGCAATAAAAGATACTGGGTTGTTGAACCAACCGACCTGACTGTTCTTGGACTGAACAGCAGGATAAATCCACTATTAAGCCATGTTCATTTAACCACGTTGACGATTGTCCCACAAACATAGTTTTAATCAGAGTCTTGTGTCTGATTCACAGCGAACTTTTCATGAAATCTGTAAAGGAATACATCTTCAGAAGAGCCAGGAGCATCAAACAATCAAACATGACATCAAGAAAAGCAATGGCAGTAAGTCCAGCTGACAACTACCTGCATATTTGTTTTTAAATAGTTGAGAAAGAGTGTCTGAGCAAGACGCAGTAAAAAAAGTTTTTGGGGAAAATGTCATATTTGTTGTGAAACTGACCACATCCTGGAATAGCCCCTAACTCCTGGCCCTTCTCCAGTAGAGTCCGTAGAGAAGAGCTCGGCGGTGGTGCGGTCCAAAGACTCAGCAGCTCCCCTCAACTGGAAGGAGACCGGGGCCAATGTCAATATGGAGGAGAGTAGGTCCCCTTCCCAGGAGGAGACGGCCTTCAATGATCAGACCGTCTACTCCTACCAACAGATCAGCTGTCTGGACAGTGTTGTCAGGTACAGAGATAAAGACATGATTTTGATCCTGTGTAGGATACAGTTCATACCGAGCCTTGTACTCTTAAATGTCATAGGTAATCCACTTTAATAATGTCAGACCAAAAACTTTTGTTATCACCTACTGTTACAGATAGCTAGTTTACTATAATTGATGGTGTGTTGTTATGATTGCTGCAGGTACTTGGAGAGCTGTAATGTTCCCATCACAATGAAGAGGAAGTGCCAGTCTTCCTCGAACACCACGTCCTCTAACTCGGATGAGGACAAACGGAAAGGACTTAACAGCATGCAGGTGCCTCAAGGTACGTGTCCACACTACCAAGATACGCAGACACTTATTGTCATCCTATCATACAAAGCTACGGCCTTTCCTTTAAACTTCTCTCTCAGATTCTACAATGCCAGTTCCTTGTCAGTATCTCTTGTTCTCTGGTCTCTTTGGCAGAACCAGCCTTGTTGAAGAATCAGTCTGCTCTCTCCGCTTTGGATGATCGAAACAAAAAGTCCAGTGACACGGCCACAGCAGCGGGGGGCACTTCTCTGCCCCTGCCTGTACCTAACAAACCAGAAAGCGTGGTGTCCATAACCAGCCAGTGTAGCTACAGTAGCACCATAGTGCATGTTGGGGACAAGAAACCTCAACCAGAGTCAGGTACAGTGCCGTAAAAAAATCTTTGCTTCCTACCTGATTTCTTCTATTGTTGCATATTTATCATACAAAGATATCAGATCTTCTAACAGTCTTTAAAACAGCAACAGGAACAAAGTTATCCAAAAAACAGATCACTCATTTGAAAAGGGATTGGCCACTTGAAACACAATTAGGTGCAATAATTGCATTAGGTGTTAAATATCTTTAAAGGTTTGATATCACTCTTTTGGATTTCAGCGAGCATCAGCAAACTAGTGAGCGCCATGGAAGCTGCTTGTTCAATGGCTCCTGTGTTATAAAGTGTATATAAACAGTAATTCACCACCTTGCAATATATAATGTTGCATTGTTCCACAACTTTGAACCTTACTGGATCATTTAATATCGCCCACAATGATGAACGGAAAGAAAAAAAAAATGTGTGTGCAAATTGTTGTAAATTTAGCACAAATATATTTCAATAGCCACCGTAGTAATCATTGTAACCAGTGAGTGAGCCGGACTCGAGGCCAAATGATCTACCCTGTGATGGAAGTATGTAAGTGAATATTATCTGTGGCCCTGAAATGGGGTTCCCAGGGTGTTTTTTCATAGGTCCTTGTTAAGGCCGCTACAATGCTTTATCAACACCGCTGTTGTTATCATCATTGTCACTGCAAATGCTAAACAGTTGTGTTGCATTATACTCCATTCTTCATTGCTTTAGAGTATGTTAAAGCCTCTCTCCGCTGTCACCCTCTGACATACAGAGATCATAGAGGATGTCCCAGGAACAGGAGAGACGGTAGAGTCCAACCAGGGCTCCAGGGCTCCTCTTTCTGTTGTTTCACCTCCTAGTCAGGAGAGGGAGTCCTACAAGAAATTGGGCTTGACCAAGCAGGTTTTGGCAGCCCATACACAGAAGGAGGAGCAGACCTTTCTGTATCGCGTCCGGGAGTTACGAGGACTCACGGCGCTCAAAGAAAACTGCTCTCAGTACCTGGAGCGTCAGAGGGAACAGATCGCCAGCGATGGTACCTACGACCACCACACTGACACGTCATATCAAAAGCCTTTAAAGGATAATGCCAGTTTATTACAACTTGGGTGTACTGTAATCATAATATAGTATAACAATAATAATCACTTTTGTCAAATTCACAAATTCTTTTTTTATCCTCTCCAACCTCTAGCTGTACTTGCTGCTCGATCCTCCAAGCAGGGCGGACCGACTGTAGAGCCCAGTGCGCGGCAAGGCACACGGAATAAGAAGACCAAGTCAAAGCGAGCGAGGAAGACGGACTCCTCGGATAGCACGGTGTCCCATCACAGACAGCAAAACGTGCGGCTTCCTCTTCGAAACCACGGCCTTAACCCAACCTGTTGGTCTCGCTCTGACTCCTCACAGTCGACCTTTCCCATGGCCTACCCCTACCCCTCCGTGATGCCAGGCTACCCCCTACAGGTTTACCCCAGAGCCAGTTCCATAGCTCCCCGCGTAGACGCCACTCTACAGGGCTTTGGGGACAGTCAGGGCACACAGGCCCCTCCCTGTGCCCCACCCATTCATCCTGCTCCCTACACCACCCCGATTGTCGCCCCCATTGTGGCTCTGATGTTACCCATGCCCTTCCCTCCGATGGCCCCCGGAGTGCCTCCTCCACAGCCAGTGTACCACGCAGCGAATGGTGGCTTCCCCACCCAGCTGCAACCGTTTGGCCAGGCTGCCTTTCCAGGACAGGGCCCCTTCACGTCTCCACATCCCTTCAGTGTTCAGAACCAGTTCAACTCACAAAACCACTTTGGCCTTCAAGCAGGCTACATGGCCCCGTCGTTCTACTTCCCTCCATCCTCGGAAACCTCAAAGGCCCCCGTGGTGGAGGGCCAGTCTCGCTCCTCTACGCCCCAGTCTGGAGGCCCGGTGTCCCCACCCTTCTTCCAGTCCTGCTGCAGCTCACCCCTCAACCTGCTGGAGCTGGAGCTGTCTGTGGACCGACAGGACAGCACAGTGCTCTCTTCTGGAGGACAAGGGAATAACGCTGCTGAAAGGGAGAAAAGAGCAAATGGCAGCCAAGCCATGGAGAGAGAGCTGAAGCAGGTAAGCACCTGTAACATTCTTAAACTGTCAGGATGAAATTTCAATGCCTCGCTAAACTTTATCAATGTGGGTTGTTTAAACCCCCCGCTGGTAGTCTGCCATGTTTAAAGTCAACTCAGTCTGGACTCCTCAGATGAAATGTGGCCCAGGGTGTTAACACATGATCTTATTATCCCTTACACCCTTTAGCTGTCTATCAGTCTCCTTCGTCCACCTGGACCCTTGTATCGCGAGAGCTCGCCCTGTGTCCGTGAGCGTTTGTCTTGGGATAAAGTGTGCTCTAGGCTGAGGGCTTGCAGCAAAGAGGTAGGCAAATCATCAGAAACCCTCCACACTTCTCCAATCCCATTCCTCCCCGATTCCATATGTCGATTATAACGGTAACAGTTTCTCTGTTTTCCTTTTTAATGACTTGTGATTAGCTTTTTCAATCTTTCAGTGTTCTTGCAGTGACATTGATTTGAACTAAACCATGAAACTGAGAAGCTTTAAGAAGACATAATCTGACATTGTGAAAAACAAGGGATATATTGAATTTCTTAAAAATGTCTACAAAGTTACACCGAAAACTCATTGTAGTACATAATGTATGTATAACTGCACATACATAGTCTTTGATTTTTGCATGCCAGAACCAAACCAAGCTTGACCATTACGATGAACATTTGCAGTAACAACCAGTTTTAAGTAACTATGCTCACTATGCTCAGCCTTATTGTGTAGCTATGATAATCACAGGGTATTGTGTACCAGGTGATTGACGAGGTGGACAATTTCCCATGCTCACTGCAGAAATATACTCCCAGTTGAGTCTAGAAATGCAGAAGCGCGATCTAACACGGCCAATGATACGGCACCTGCCTGTATCATAAAGATGCAGGAGATGGAGGAAGTTCTACAGTCTGCTGGCCAAAGCTATGAAGTCAAGCTCCTCTTTCATAGTGTCGCTTTTATGTTTGTCTTTTTGCAGGCGAGTTCACGTGGCGACGGGAACAACAGCGACGCAAACTCTTTGTCCAGCGACATGTTGGACATTATTCTCCACGAGGACTCCTGCTCGGGTACCGGCTCAGCCACCTCTGGGTCCATTGGCTCAGGGTCCAACGGCTGCGGAACTTCAGCCAGCGGGACGTCCAACAGCGGGACATCTCAAAGCAGGACGTCAGCCAGTGGGACCTCCGGCAGTGGAACAGGTGTGCGCCTAAGTTTCAATCTTATAGATGAATGAGTGGGAAAAACTGAATACAAGTAGCAGTATGGAAAGTAGAAAACACCAAAGTGAACAATCAGCTTTGCTCTAATTTTTGTATTTAATTAATAGTGATAACTGCTGACCCTATTTGGACTTTTAGCTCATCTATATAGTCCTAGGTTTATTAATATACAGCCCGTATCACAAGATTTACAGATGTAAGCACACGTTTACAAAAATGTGTTACATAAGCATCGTTAAAGTATTTGTTTCAAAATTATTAATTCTGTGCTATTTGGGTGTTTCAGGAAGCAACAACAGTAGCCAATACTTTGGCAGCATGGACTCCTCCCAGAACAGCAAGAAGGTCAACGGTCACTTGAGCGGCAGCGAGGGAAGGCCCGTGGAGATGGACCAGAGAGATCACTTACTACTGCAGGACCCGCTGTGGCTGCTCACTGCCAACACAGATGACAAGATCATGATGACCTATGAGTTGCCATCGTGGTGAGTAGGAGGACGGGGGCATAGCCACGGAGGAGTAGGATAGTTGCCATGTAGAGGAACTATTGTTTGATAGTTTACCCAACCTTCTGTTTGTTATGGAAGGATAAGGAAAAGCCTGCATCCAGAAAAACTCTAATCCTCATTGATAGACAGGTTTCCTGTTTACAGACAATAGAAGATGTGTGTGCAGCCAGGAGACAGAAAACATCCGAAAGGTGTGATGATAGCTTATCTGTGGACATTGTCTGCATTTAGAAAAATACCACGACTTGTTGTAGGGCAATAAAAACGATGAAAAATAACTTGATCCAGCTCTTTTCCTCACAAGTTTCTCTCAAAATCAGAAACGCTCGGCACGGTTATTGCAGGAACCGCTTTTGACCACTAGATGGCCACCTTACATTAACACAGTCACTAGATAAGAGGTGCCTGACATTCCATTAGCCTGTGAACTTGCAAGTAGATGGTTATCAAAAGGTTTCAGTGACTTTAATAGCTCAAGATCGATCCAAAAATCAGAGTATTGTTGTTTTCACCCTGAGTGATTCTCCAGCATTAATACTATACCATCCAACTCTCTTATTTGCAAACCCAACCCTTCATAAAGGTTCATCTGTTGGGTCGAGTATTGAATATGTTTGTGTTGGCTGTGTCTGCAGTGACATCCAAAGAGTGCTCAGAGAGGACCAAGAGCAGCTGAGGCTGCTGCAGAAGAATCAGCCTCGCTTTTCAGAGGAGCAGAAGAAGGAGCTGATGGCGGTCCACCCCTGGATTAAGAAGGGAGGTCTGCCCAAGGCAATAGACATCAAGGTAGAAGGATATTATTTATTATTTTACAAATTAAATTCAGTTCAATTCATTACATTTTAGTTTGGCTTTAAAATGTGTCTCTTGTGTAACATGTGGTCTCTTAAGGAAACAGTATTTTTCTTAATACATGACTGTTGTTCATCTGTTATGTGTTTGGATTATATATATATATAAAAAAAAACAAAAAACATAAATAGTCGCAAACATTTTTCTGGGTCACCGCTCACCTTCTCATTTTGTCTGTCCTGCTCAGGCGTGCTCCTGTTGTGATGCTGCCTCAGGGGAAGCAGCAGCAGCAGCAGTGTTGGATCAGCCAGAGCTGGACATCGGTGATACAGAGACGGGGGGGGGGTCGGCTGCCAGCGGAGGCCCAGAGAAGAACCCTCTAATGCTCTCTCAGACACAACCAGCCTAACGTAACCCGCCCTATATTTTTATAGTGACATTCATCACCCTTTAGCCTCTTGTTCTGTACGACTGTGAAGAGGGACCTACTGTTCCATGAAGCACCACACAGGCCTTTCATTAATGTCTCGGTCTTGCTGTTTAGATGTCAAAGAAAAAACTGGCTCAACAGTCAAGACTCTTGTGATTGTACGAGTGCCGGACACTGTGACGACGTGTGTTCATTTGTTTGTTTCTGTGTAGCACTAAACAAAGCGCAGCATTTGCACTGATCAGGAGAAGCCGAGCCCAGTGAGTGAAACGCATCATGTGCTCTTACACCAGGCAGCACATCAGAGGTCAAATGTGCACCAACCAACTGGAGGCTTGCTTCGTTCACATGCCAGGAAGCGGCTCTGTGTTATTCTAACTGCTGCAGTTAATGATGAATTCAGCATTTTTGGGACGTTACAGCAGCTACGTCAGCATGCGGTGAGGACAGGTGGAGTTACGTTTCAGCCACTCCTGTCATGCATTGGCATCAAGCACCGAATTGGCGCACAAGTGCACTTTGTCGGATGCACTGGAAGGAGGGGGGGGGGGGGGGGACATGAGTGAGACTCATTTACATCTGTAGTATTTGCCCAAATGAATTGCTGATGTTGCATTTAGTCACTGAAAGGAAAGTGCAAAATACAGACTTGCTCCTCTGTACAGCAGAGAGCAGGCATGAACTCACCGCCAATGGCTGGAGCTTTTCGCCTCATCCATCCCCAGTCGGAAACAAACTCAGATTCCTCACTCAAGTAAAAGTAGCAAAAAAAACAATACCCTTCAATGCAAAAAGTAAAATATCTCCCTCTGAGATTAAGTGAAGTAGAGGTATACAATTTAAATGCCTAAGTACATACGTTACTGATCCATGGAGGTGAAAACACTTGTGAGACTGCACTGAGAAAAGGACAATCAGGTGAGATAGCAAGTAAGCTACATTTACCCAGCAACCCATCAAGTTGTATTGTTTCTGAGAATTTATCATTACAAATTTCCATTTTTCCAGCTGCCTGTGTCCCGGTACCTAATGCAGCTGTAAGTTTTCATTCTTTATGCATATTTCCATGCAGCATTTGTTTCAGTATCAGCTGTCAAACTTGCCTCTCACTTAAAGAAACAGTATATTTAATGCATTTCAATGCGTGTGTGAATGTTTGTAACAGCCTTTGACTCTGAGCATATATATATATATATTTGTACATACACTAATTGTTTCTGTATAAGATATTCTTGTTTTTAATATATTTATGGAAAAATATCTTTGAAAAAACGAGCAGGACCAAGATGATTAATATTTAATGTGAAATCTATTTTTAAAATGGGGTTGTTAGGACAAATCCCACCATGGACTGGAAATACTGGAGAAGTATGTTGTTTATGGTGGATGATTAATATAAAATGTGAGGAGAATATTGATGTTTCCTCAGTTTTAAGAGTCTGCCATATAACACTTGAAATGTCCTGATGTTGCCCCTCATAAACATGGAAAAGAGCCTCCCGAGTATCCTGTGGAAGTGTCTGAAGCTCATTACCGTTTTGTGTGGTCACTTCAGAAGTCGAAGTTTAGGGTTATTGCACTGGTATAAAGCGGCTCAGACAGATGTCAAGTGACTGTGTGGACAGATTTCCTGCACTTTGAAGAAGCTCCTATGATGTCGTTGGAGACGAAACTGCAACTTGGAACATTTCCTGAATTTGTCATTTGTCTTTCTGTTATTTGAACTGATGCTGACAACAATGCACCTTTTTTTTCTTATTTTTACAAAAAAAATGATCTGTTTGTTTAATTTTCTCTAAATAAAGTGATGGAGAAGTTACAGTGGGGTTAGGTGTGTTGTGAAATGTCTGCCTGAAACACTTTCTACCTTGCATACAGGAGGAGCAGCGCATGTTAGGTTAAATTGGACAAATGCTAGCTGTTGGATTGCAGCTCTTAATGGACCGATGGCCAGTTAATGAGTGCTCCACAGACGACTTAGAAAAAGATTGCCTGTTTGCAGATCGATGCTTAACAAACGGTGAGGAGGGAGCCATTTATTTAGATATGAACTGAATGAAAATACACCTTTAAATTGTTTATATTGGGCTATAAACAGCTACTACAAATACGTTTTTAGATGATACTTATAGGCCTAATGTTGAAAAAAAAAAACGTGTCTTCTCCATTCTGAAGTCGTGACGTTCACCTTCCCAATGCAAATGGCTGTCTGTGCCGACCACTGGAACAATGGCTGGGATGTCATCTGACAGACTGCAGACTCTCAGATCCTCCGGTACAAGGATCAGCAGGCCGGATCAAAGCGACCCCTCTCCTCCCTCCACTGTTCACACCTGAACTAAATTATCAAAGTGCCCTCCTGCAGTGGTCATTTGCACCTCTGGAGATCCGCAAATCCGGTTTGATCCCCGCGCAGACTGACGGACTGTATATATCGAGGTATACATCCAGTCACGTTGTGTGGAATCTGTGGTGGTGGTGGAAGAACTCGGATCGCTCAGGTGGTGTTTTAGAAGTAAAAGTACGCATAGTACTGCCACAGTGTACATATTCGTAATGCAAAAGGCCACTTTTAAAAAGTTAATATTCTCATATGTTATGTTATTGGATGCTTATTATTATTATTGCTGATGCATTACCTATAAGCAGCATTTTGTGGGCCTACCTACAAAAACATACTCAAAGTAACTATTAATATCTATAAACTAAGTGGAGTAAAAAGTGCAATATTTCCCTCTGAAATAAGTAGAGCAACAAATGGAAACACATTTTGATAAAGCATATGTTGGCCAATGTTGTAGCTGGTCAAGGTAGAGACAATCGAGACTGCTTATAGTTTATAGTAAATAATCATGTTTGTTCTCGAGAATCTGCAAAGTGAAAACTGTTGCGGTCAGATAAATGTAGTTGATGAAAAAGCTCTCTGTTTAACCTTGAAATGTGGTGGCTTGGAAGTGTAAAGAAGCATAAAATAGACAAGTGAAGTACCAGTGATGCTAAATAGAGATGCTCTGTGTAATCACGTGCTCACTGTATTAATCTTTTTTCTTGTGATTTCACCAACGAGCCTTCTCAGTATGGGTAAGAACGTGTAACAAATGACACTTGGAGCCATCTGAGTAGAAATAGATTAAGAGTGAGTTCAGGGAATGCTGTCTTTTCTTATTCATAGATGTAGCAGCTGACAGTGGCCCTCATCAGGGCCACGGGGCCACAGTGGTCATGTCTGAGGGTGCAGACAAATTTGTATGGGACTGGTGTGTACAGAGTTTAACAGTAGATTATTAGTAATTGTAAACATTTGAAAAGCCCCATATCCAGTGCATTACAGTAGAATATATTGGGAAACTGATAACCTGACAGTGGTGGCATTGTTACTCAAGAGCCCAGTTCCATGACTGGCAAGTTATTTGTTGTCATGTCATTTTAAAACTTACATCAAAAAAGCTGAAGTCAAGTAGAGTTATAAAACCCATTTGTCAACTCCTCAACTAGGCCTATATAAGGAGTGAGTGAATTACTCATTTCACACCTCACAAATGCCTACGATGTGCTAAGGGCTCTTGGAGAGAGAGAGAGAGAGTGCACTCAGATAGCCCACAATTGCAGAGTAATAACTAACATCTTGAAAACAGCAGTGGGTGGGTGTATAGTGGGATCCTTGTGTGTGAAATGTGGCATTTCTTTCCTAGAATCAGAACAAATGCAATTTAAAAGCCAAAAAGATATTTATTAAAAAGTTTTAACTTAGGCAAATCAGATGAGGTAGCCTACTAAAAGTCATTGGACACTTATAAATACAAAGTTAAAGACATCCTAAATACAAAATAATTTACACACGACTAACAACGCATTGCTAGTGGGACAGCTACCTTCTATACAGACCATTCATATTCAACAAGTAAATATTTACATATGCATTTACCCCTTCACTGAAGGCAGGCCCATATAAGGCCAATACACTTCCAAATGAAGACCCTACAAGTCTCTGACTTCTGACAAACAGATTTAATTACATACTTTATTAAATACATTTTTAGCTGTATTGTAGTCCCCCCCCTAAATACACAAAGAGCTTCTCAGATGCCTTTCAACAAGTTTCAAAGTTGTCATCTCAGCAGTGTTATTGTCATGTGCTGAGGCCTACCCCACAAAACGTCCTAACACAACGCATTAAATCATCTAGTGTAGTTATAAACATGCTATTCATCTTGTTTGACGTGATCTACCACGGTCTCCACATGGACTTGGAGTAAGCTAAGGAAGGCAAGCCCAACACATCCTGGAAGTCGGCCTCCTCTGAAGAAGAAACGTGACTGTGCTCCGAATAGGTCTCATCCAGGTCGGAGCAGAGGTCGTCGGTGGAGGAGGAGGCCGGGGACACTAGAGCCGCGTACATGCCCTCAGACAGGGACCAAGTGCTGTTATTGCCGGGGCACTCTGCCACCGTGTCCGGGAGCAACGCCCGGAGGCTCTCTTCGTCGTTGAGGGGCATGCTCTCCAGGAGGTGGTTCAACAGCTCCGCGGCTACTGTTGGGTCAATTCCCGGGCAGCTGGACACGAAAGTGTGCACGTCGTGCATACACTGGATGTAGCCCGCAGCGAAACGCTCGCATGCCTCCCGGTTTACGGCATCCACTTCTGTGGAAAGATGAAGTAAAACGTGCGTTAGCTCAGGAGTTAGCTAAGCTACATTTCCAACGGACAGTTACAACCGTTGGCCTTCTGATTGGCTGAGCCGCGGTTGAAGATGCACACGCGCACCTGTGGCCGCAGCAGTTAATTAGGAGATTAATGCGCTAACCGTCATAAATTAACGTTGTATTGTTCAGCGGAATGATGCCATGTAAATTAAGTTTAGATTAATACTTGCTTGTGAAAAGTTAAATATATAATGAACAGTTATTTAATGGCGTACTGTCAAGTAAACCTAGTTGGATAAACAATGTATACCTTGAGCCCGGTTCTGCAGGACGCCCTCCACCCGTTTCACTGTCATCTCCAGCACTTCAGCATTCTCCATCTTTGATTGTAACTGCAGCGGGTGAAAAAAAGCGTAAGTAACCAGCGCTGGCGACACAGGCTAAACTACACAAATGTAGACAATGTAATGTTTTGAGCAGAAACACAACACAAAGCAGGGGCCTAAAATATACGCATAGTAGCCAAACTTACGTCTGCATCCGCCATGAGAACTCTGAGTTCTTGTAAACTTTCATTGATGCGAGCCCTCCTTTTCTTTTCCACCAGAGGTTTCCTCATCTGCCAAAAACAGTAACGACAATGGAGTTACTTTGTCAGTTATCAGCCGAGTCAAAACAGGCCTCTTTGTATTTAGTGGCCACATAAACCCTCACCTTTCTGTCAGATTTGATGCCACTGCAGTCATCATCGTCCGCTGCGTTTGTGTCGTTACGGATGGGGGCCATGTTGTTAAAAGTTTAACCCAAGCGCTGCCAGAAACCAACTGGGTTGGAGGTCGGCGTGTAATCCAAAGAGCCGTTACAGCTCGTCAATGGGACAGATGGCCGGGCGATCCCAGCGGCCAACAAAGCTTGCAGAAAGACTGGGCTACTCAATGCTGCTCCGAGGGGGCCTGTGCTCGGTATATATGACGGTTCATTTACATATGAATGGGTCAACTGGCTACGACGAGAGCGAGACACATCCAGGGCGCGCAAGGCTCGTACCCGCTAGTCACCAGTGGTCACGTCAGCTTTTGTCCCCCAACTTCAGTCTGAACCTCACGTTACATGAAGATTAAAGACGTGAGCTCTGAAGTTAAATTCAACCAGAGATGGGTTCAAGAAAGATTATCATCTTTTGGCTGAAATAAATGAGATCAAATTATAACCAGTGCTTCACATGTAGGTAATTTCAGTGTATCAAGCTCCTTTTTACAAAAACAACAAACACCATTTCACTTCTTAATGTTAATATTCTTAAGCACTCTCTTTTAATGTGTGACACCACTATCTATCTGCTAATTGTCACTTTGCATCATTAGTCAGCTGGATGTCTTGCTTGATTGTGAGCCATCAGTGCACCTATGAGGACTAGTGCTCTGTAGAAATAAATTAAATAATGTGAATTGGACGGGATGAGCCATTTGTGAAGTACACTTAAGAGCCTTTAGCGTCTCAAAATGATTAAGCAGCCTGAAACAGTGCTGTCACAAAAAAGAGATCATCCCTGTATTTGAACGTTTTCATTGTCAGTTCTAGTATAATTATAGTTGGTAATGCTTTTCAACTCAAACACATTATTTAGGTTGTGAATCATATGAACACACTCGTGGCTATTCTTAAATGGTGACAAGAGCTGTGTGCAGGCCTGCGAATTTGTGCAACGGGTAGATATGCACTATTACATGAAGTTTGGTTTGCGGTTATCCACTGTTACAGATGTATTCAATATTGCTGCAGTACACTGCTGATAGTCTGGATGCTGCGTGTTAAGATTGTGGCCGCCATACGTTTATATATGCATAGAAAAATAATAATTACATCTGATGATTTGACCATAACATTTTTATTCCTGAAATTCGTCTTTAGCTAAGAATTTGTAAAATTTTTATTTTTATTATCTACAACACTAATACATTTTGTAGCCACATGTAGTGCAATGTAAAATGTGCGTTAGGTCCTCTTACAGGTTTATACTATATTAAATGCTCATATTACATTGCATTATATTATACTATAATTTGTAAACTATACATTACATACTCAAACCTACTGTATACGTTGTACTATAGCACACATTGTACTGTATTGTACAACATTGTATGCATTACATGCCTTGCTAATGCCCATGTGCAAACTGTTATTATTACCATTATTATAATTATCAGTGTTAGTTACATGGAGCTAACTTTATTGCAGTCAGATAGCTGGCTGAGAGTTTGAAACAACCCTACATTTCCGGATGATAGTGTTGAGAACAAGACATGCAGCTTTAAATAAAATACGGAAAGCACTACCATATCGGGCACTCGCCTTCAGAATAAGGGCACAACGTAGTGTAATACCAACAAACAGGAGATAAAAATAGTTTATTTTCATCCAAAACAGCTTCAAACATTAAATTATAGTAACGTGTTTACCAAAGAGCCCACAAACAGCGTATTTCGTGTTAAATGTAATTTTGTAGTCAGATCTGAACTCTTATTTTGACAGCCGCGAGGCGTCTCTTCCTCCAGACCCACACAGTGCTTGTTCGTCAGAGAATACGCTCTTCTGAGGTCACCGATCCCCGGGGGCGAGACTGGTCCACTGCTATATAATCTTCCCGGCTCGGTGGATGAAACCAGCGCACTGAGATCAGCTAACGAGATAAAGCAAACATACACTGACCAAACAAACATGGTGAAGATCACTTTCCAGGCAGTTACGGCGCAGAAGCCTGAAAAAGAGATCGATGAAGACAAGATCATTATACCTCAGGCTCACGTGAGTTTGCACTCTTTTTTTGTTTTGTGTTGTTGCATTTGTCTTGTGTCTCAGTATAGCATTAGTATACATTTTGCATATGTAATAGCTAAGTAGATTAACTAAATTCGTTTAAGCTGTATTGTTTGATTTGCCTGGTCATGCATCGTCATGCCACTCGTTGGGATTTCATTTTGAACTGGTACTTCGTGACCTATTTGATTGTGCATTCAAAATGTATTCAAAAGCCAGGATGTCCTTAAAATATTATGTTGCAGTTAGGTTTTTTTAATGCTACTGAATGGTTGAAAATCACTAGTTCAGTTTTTTTATGTTACTTTTCCTGGTGCAGTTACTACTAGGACACTATTCCTGACAAAAAAAGCTTATTGCACTGTAACGTCATAATAACAATGAAAAAGACCCATCATACAAGACCATCCCAGCCAGGGGATGTTGACATTACGTCACCTTGTTTGGCCACCGCGAGGACACACTGCAGATGGCTGCCCTGTAATTGTGCCTTCAGCAGAATATCACACAAGTAATCTAAATGGTTCATACCTACATGTAATATAAGTCTAAGTATGCATATATGTTAAAGTGAAACCTTCCCCTTTGTCAGAATAGGCGGTAGGAATGCAAATAGCCTCAGTTTCTGTCGACATGAGTAAACAACAGAACTGTAGTAGAATCACTGCACCAGTTAGTGGCGTCACGAGACTATACCACGTGGATCCTGCAGGTAGCGCCTGAGAGACTACGAGCCTGTGATTAAGAGAGGGAATCCAGAATTAATGTGTGTTGTATATCTACAGTGCACGTGATTAGAAGGCGTAACTTTTTTGTATCAAAATTGGCATTGTGAAAAATCAGGATTAAATATTAGCAAAAAATATGGAAAAATACCAGTTTGTCCAAAGGGATTCCTGTATCCTATGAGTAAGATCCGGATCTCAGTGAATTTGAAGTGGGGTTCAGAGAGGAACTGAAAATCTCATTGTGTTACAATAGCAACTGATTACCTGCAACTTATCTGCAACATGGCATATCCCAAATCCTTGGCTCAACAGGGCTCAACCGGTATTACAACATTTTGAACCAAATGAAGCAAACTGCTTTAAAGTAGATAGATCGATAGTACTGAATTAGCCTGATCATGTTATCTCCCAGTTGGGATTAAATGTCTGGGCTTGTCACAATAAGTCCTGTTCTTCTTAGCCTCCTTTCTGGACGACCTCCCAGGAGTTAAACATAATTAGATATCTGGCACACAATGGATGCCTGTCTAAGCCCCCTTATTTTTTCCCATCACACTGTTCACAATGATGACAACTTGATGACGCATCCATCGCTTCTCCACATACAAGTTTTCACCTGTTTGTTACGTCAACAGAAGAATAAGCCATGATCTAACAGGCTGTATGGATTCTGATTGGCTGCGACACTAGGCCAGGCGTCGGAGCCAATGTGTGTAGATCTATTAATGTGTCCGCCTCCGCTGAGGGACTCCTCCACGCAATTCCTCTCGCTTTGACTCCCACTGAGGGCACGAAGGAACTAACAAATATGGAGCGTGGAAGTAGGCCTCCAAGAATAGACCCAGACGGCCACGTGCCAGCATCTTCGTCAGAGCCTGGCACAATCTGTCCTCCCTGCTTCCGCTCTCCATAGCAACAGTAGTAGTGAGAGGCAGCAGACTGTGGGTGGGCATCTGGTACGTTTCATTCCAGTACGTCCTACGTCTGTCAGATCTCCTCTCCTTACTGACGACTTTGCAACTACCTCCTGTCACAATTAACGACTGTTACGTTTTCGTCATAAAAACAGAAAACCCGACATGTTCTGTTCATCATTTTGCACCTTATGTTGTGAAAGCTTCAGGGTCCTACTAAATACCATGTAATACCATGTCAAAAGATACAGGTTAAGTTTACACATCTCTTGGCAAACTAGCGGACTTTTCTTAACCAAACTGCTCTTCTCTTCACAGGGGCAGCTGGTTCTTCCTGTCAGGCACAAAAAGCCTTTTCCAGCCGGCCTCTGCTGCCTCACCTTTGGCCTGGTGGTCTTCATGTCAGGACTGGTGCTGTCCTCTATCTATGTCTATCGCTACTACTTTATACCTCAGGTCAGTTCATGCTGGATCCCTTCTCTTAGATTGTATCTTGAACCCAGTGGCACAGACTGTTTGATGAACACAAATATTTAAAAAAAAAAAGATACAACCTAAAGTAAAAAACTGTCACATGCTAATTCAGCTCTATCGCGCCCCATTAGCAGATTCCGGAAGACAGCTTGTTCCACTGCCGGGTTGTCTATGAGGACTCCGTGTACGCTCCTCTGAGGGGCCGACAGGAACTCGAGGAGAATGTTGGCATTTACCTTGACGACAACTACGAGCAGATCAGTGTACCTGTGCCACACTTCGGAGGCAGTGACCCCGCCGATATCATCCACGACTTTCAGAGGGTAGGTCAATGCCTCTGTATGTTAACTGCTTTGCTCTCATTGCATTTTCTTGTTAGTGTTTCATTATAGTTTAGGTTGTAACCTTTTTTTTAAATTGATTTCAGGGCCTCACAGCTTATTACGACATTGCTTTGGACAAATGCTACATCACTGAGCTGAACACAACCTTGGTGATGCCTCCACGGAACCTGTGGGAGCTGCTCGCCAATGTCAAGGTGAGGCACACTCTCCGCTCTCTGCTGATGTGAAAGCATCGTTTGGAGATGAACGACAGCATATTCCCATCTTCCGGTGTGCAGTGTTCTCCCCACAGACCGATCGACTGAGTGATTCATTTGTGTTTGTTTGTGTTGCCACAGAGAGGGACGTACCTTCCTCAGACTTACATCATCCAGGAAGAGATGATGGTGACTGGAAGGGTGAGGAACATGAGGCAGCTGGGCCCGTTCATCCACAGACTCTGCTATGGCAAAGAAACCTACCGCCTCAGACGCCGCAATCAGCACAGACGTGAGTGCTCACATCCACTTCCTTTTTTCAGTCAACTGAATCACGGCAGTACGAGATGCTAAATGACGAGGGATGGGTCACTTCTGCTAATTTATCCCCCTCTTTCACACCAACACTAGTAAGTGTTCAGTAATGTGACCAAGGAGAAAACAACCAAAACCAAATAGAGGCTTCCTCGTGTACATTTCAGAGATTGTATCTCTACCAGCCTGATTATCATGTCAGTGTGCGTATGTGGGCGCAGCCTGGGAACTTCCTGCTAAGTGAGTCACGGGTAGTGCAGCAGACACATCCACACACTGTGGAGGAGGTAGTGATGCGCCTCAGTGATATCTCCGTCGTTGCTTTCTTTCATTGGTGTGAGAGATATGATGCAACAAGCTTCCCCTCAGTACATATAAGGATGTGATTTGTGGAGAACACGCGTAGCACGAGAAATAATATTACTACTGCAAACCTCCACTACTGAGCAGTGATCTAAATGCGTCTTCTTTTCTATTCCAGGTATTGAGAGGCGCGAGACAAAGAGGTGCCACAGCATTCGCCACTTCGAGAACACTTTTGTGGTTGAGACCGTCATCTGCGACAGGTTCTAAATCTGAGGAGGAAATAACAGCCATCCAACTCTGAAAGCATACCTCTTGAATTCTTTAGGCTTTTAACTGCACTTTAAGAGCAACCGTCTGTCCAACAGTTTTACTTTTTGTTTCTCGTCTCAAGTTGGAAATGCTCTTGTTTTTGTTCATGTACGATGTTAATGTCTTTTTTTATTCACAGTCTGATGTTATAAATGTGTTTGGATATATCTGTAGCTTGTCAAGGACTGCATAAGATGTTAATGTGTGTCAGTTTGTTTCATTTACATCAGATTAAGACTTGATTTAGATTTATTTTAGAAATGTCCTTGTTATTTAGTAACCCAGTGCACTGTGGGTGATGGTTTGGGTATTTTTGAAGCTGCTTGCATGGTGCACTCATGTTAATATCTGTTTCTTGGTTGTTTTTTTAAATTTAGTTTTGAATGTCACGAAAATAGCGAAACATACCTCATGTACTTTAGACGTTTCTTTGTTGGTTTGTATCATTAATGAAGGGTGTACATAACTTTGATTGTTCCTAAGCAATATATACTGTAAATTGATTTTCTTCTGGATCTCATATTGCTACATGCATAGATTTTTATCTGAAATCGACTTGTTTTGTCTCTTTATTTCCTTTGGCATCACACTTTCCTACTCCTTGGATATAAAGGCTTTAGACTGTAATTAGTAGCAGTGCTTTAGAGGGACAGAAGGAACCAAAGTCTGCTGTCAGAGATGCTACGCTTCATGTTAAAGATATATGAAATATTTAGAAAGAGTGCTTTTTCGTTTTGATCACTTACTGTAGATGATATCAAAGGCTAACACTTTGTCCTGCTCTTCCTCCTCTTCACTTGGAATCTGCCTGTTGTCTTTAGCTCTCGCCAGTTCCCAATCTGTCCTATTCTGGCATTATAATCTACAATGTTAATTTGTCCAACTTTAGAAAACATTGGGGTGTCTTTCTCATGTAAAACTTGGAGCAAATAAGTCTCTGTTGAGAGACATGTGACATGTGCTCATATGTCATTGTCCTGGATACTTTATTTCATTGTACAGTCGATTCTTCTTGTAATATCTTGCTGCTTTAAGAATAAATGATCAAACTTTTGTGTGTGTTGGATGTTGGATGTTAATCAGCAACAGTGTCAGTAAATCATACACATCATGAATATGAAAATGATAGGGTAGAGTAGTTGATTGTGTGATTATTTCAACGTGTGCAGCTTCTAATAAGGCATCTAGTCTTTATAAAGTATACTAATATAAAATATCACAACTGCAGACACACTGTAACAAAAAAAGCCCCGATCAGTTCAGTTCCTGTAATAATGTAAAGTGAGCTTTACATTTTAGAGCAGACATCGGCCATAGAGCTAAGTGCATGCGGTATAAAATACTAACACATGTTGTTAAATCTACATAATCCACCTCCTAAGGACTTTGCTCTGATAAATATCCATGTCTTTATGTTCTTGTCTGGGCTTACTTTATTTTTCAGACCACTTGCACTGAAGAACAGAAAAAGAGCAGATCAAGAATCTCCATGGCTTCATAAAAACAAATTACACTTTGAGAAAAACAACAGAAACAGAAATTAAAACGGAAACAAAACTGAATTGAGCACAGACAACAGAGAAAGTCAACAAAGAGAAGGCTTGTGCAAAAGTATCGAGACACAAGTGATGCAAGTAAACCAAAACATGACGGTATCATAAAATAAAGTTTTATACTTTCATTAATACACATTAAAATCCCCTAATTGAGACTTATGTAAAACCTTCCACTGTTGCCACAACTCTGTTCAACGTGAGCAAAATAAAACAGAGAGCGGCTTAATGTACTGCGAGTGCAACTTCCTGTTTGGGTTTGGCTCTGACATTCACGTCAATCAAACGTCCTCGTAAACATACTAATATCACAACAGTACACAGGTGAGGCTATTAATATCTGGCTTTAAACAATTTTAATAATATTATTGCACGTCTGAAGTTGCATTGTAAAAAATGTAATTAAAAAAACTAATAAAAAGTGCATATTTATATTCATACATATTCACATATGTCATCATGACGAATAGCATGTCCTTTAATATGTATATCGTATATTTATATTATATTATATTTATATATATAGTTGATATGGTCAAGATCAATTTAAAATCTATACAAGCAGAACATGTTTGTCACTCAGCCTCAGGTTTTATTTACATAAGAAATGTACAAGATTAACACTCAAACGTCCCTCCATGACCAAATACAAAACAAATAAAAACGTCAGAATTCCCAGAATGCATGGGTTGAATACACTTTTCAAGCTATGTTCCCAGTTTTCTTAGTAATCACCGATAGATGAAGTATCGGTTTGAGTTGATAAAAAATATGTTGTCAAGAAGCTATTATTTATAACTAATTATCAATTAATAATAACCATATATTCATGTGTTTTCAGATCTCAACTGGTTGGTGTCTTGATATTAGGTAAGTCAATATTTGAATTAATATTTGAATGAATTATGTAAGTTACATTAATTTACTTACTTACTTACTACTTACTACTTGCTTCAGTTTTGATAATTTACTTGTTCAAGTTGTCTTTTTATTTAAATCTGCATTTTATATACGAGATGCTATTGAACCACATTGGTCCAAAGTTTATTGCCGCCTTTGACTACAAAGCTCTGCAATGATTTCACTGCTTTGAAGTGAATCGTACCCCGCATCAGTTAATCGGTGTGCAGGAATGGACGACATGAAGCCATCTCACAATCTCACAATCTCCTACATTTTGGGTGTCAGGGCTATCTGAGGTTACAGAGGCATCAATACGGGCTTCCTGTCGCTGGACCAAATCCTGTATCAGAGCTCATCAGACCCTTTCCCCTCAGCCTTACTCTCAAACACAGTCGTTAAATGAGATCGCACTCAGACCCGTTACTCTTAGCGCATGCCACGCTTCACCCATCAGCTACTGGAAACAATACCGTCTCTTTTTCAGTTTCAATGCCCTGCTAAAATACATGAAGCCAGACCTCCAGCCATCCTCTGAGTACAAATATCATGTTTTACTTTAATAGTCAAGTGTGCGTTCAGACCTCTGAAGTGCTGTAGGTGGCTCTTCTTTGGCCGATCGTTGATACCCTGAAGGTATGTCTGGGGCTCCTCACCTCATGAGCGATGAAGTAGTAGCACAGAGCGTCCAGACAGCAGGTGATGTTGGACAGGCACAACGCCGTCTGTAGGAACAGGCTGATCCTCGTCTTGTTGCCGCAGTCTTGAATCACTCCTTGATGTACCTGGAACCATGTGATAGAGGACAGAGAAACATTAGTCGGCCATTCTGCCTAATCTTACAATAACACTAGAGGCTACCCAGCAGTGTGAACTCTGCTGTGGTTGTGCTGCAGGGTCTTATCAGGCCTTTTGAAGACGCTCTCTTTGTGCCAGGTCAACGTCAGTGATGAGCTTGAATATTTTTTTATTCATCTATTTATGTCTTGGCTCCAGGATCTTTTTTTAAATGATATACAGCCTTATATATTTTGAAATATAATGGTCAAAGATGACATGTTTAATACTGAAATTAAAGTGCATTATATGCTTCACCACTTGCTAAATTGCTGCTTTCTTTGCTTCCATGCACATATCTTTGTAACATTTAAATTGAATAAAATAAGATAAGATGTCTGTATCTGTCTTATAGAATAGTATAACCGTAAGCGTATGGGTTTGTCATCTCTCTAACCAAACCTGGCAAAAAAATAACAACACCAACAAAAAGTCCCGATTGCATCAGTCACATTAAGCTCAGTTTAAAACCAAAGGAGGAAGCACAACTTCTAACCCCAATGTAACAGCTTGTATACATTGCCGGGGCGGCATGCTCTTTATTGCATGTTCATGCATGTGAGTGTGCCCCACTGGCTAACCCATGGACAAGAAGTTGTTAAAAAATAAATATCAACGTCTACATTGTAACTGTTCTAAACTCCATTTGCTGATGAAGATTATGTGATGAAAATCTCCAGAACAGCTTCTAAAATGGACCTTAAGGTGAGCCTGTCTTCTCATTTATCTGTTACCTACTTTAACCTTCTTCATCATTTTCACTTTAGAGCTCAGTTTGCTTAAAATGAACTCGCAGTCTCTCTCACCAGGAACTGCAGGAGGATGCCCAGGTGGCTGGGGCTGAAAGGAAGCAGGAAGGCACTCAGGCTGCTGTAGATGATCTTCACACAGGCGCGGCTCTGGGCGCTGCGCTGGCCAGACCGCTGAAGCGCCCAGATGGTCTGGACCGAACAGTAAACCACCACCAACGCAGGCACCAGGAAGCCAAACACCAGCACGCAGATGATGAGCGGAGGGCTCCAGCCTTTCTCTGAAAACTCGTGGAAGCAGTGCAAGTTCGTCTGCTGGGCCTCCCTGAAGCGATAGGTGGTCGAAGAGACCGCTGCCAGCACCAGCACCCAGACCCCGATGCAGGTCCCCAGGGCCAGTTTGGGTGAACGCAGTTGCTTGGCTTTGAACGGGTGGCAGATGGCCACCCATCGGTCCACAGCTATGCACATGATGGTGTAGATGCTGCCATACGTCCCACCAAAATACAGGCTTTCCAACACCGAACAGAGAGGTTGGAGGTAGGCAGGCCAGAGGTGATGGGTGGCGTTCATTTTGAAGGGAAGAGGAAAGAGGAGGAGCAGGTCCATCAAAGCCAAGCTGGTCATGTAGATAGTGGACTCCGTCCATTTACGCAGAAAGACACAGAACACCAAGAGCGCTGCAACATTGAGGATGGAACCAAAGAGGAAGATGGGGATGTAGATGGACAGCTCCAAATATCTCATCAGGTGGTCCACCACTTCAAGCGAACAGTTGCTTGTCATGGTGTCGTTGCTGCTGCTGCTGCAAGGGAAATAGTTTGATTTGATTTCAACAAGCTCTGTGGGGATTTCAAAATGAATCTGTCCTTCCTGTCATTACTCTTTGTTCCCACACAGAACAATATATACACCACTCTACCAAGCCATGAGAAACCTCCCCGTTGTGTGGGTTCAGAAGCTGTCGACTTGTTTCTGTATCTGCTTTCAGATGTAAATGACAAAGTCACCAAGCAAAACGTTTACCATATTAGTTTCACTCACATGCTCTGAACAGTATTTTCAATGTAAGTTTAGATTAGAAGTAATAAGTCAAGTATTGTTTGAAATACATTGGTGAATTATGTACATATTGATATTTATTTAATCAAACACAAATAAAGAGTACCATAAGGATCTGAGGCTTTAGTGATTTCAACACAATTAATACAAAGTCTTTGGTCTCTGCAGCTGTCGCTGGAGGGAATGTGATCTTGTGATAAAGAAAACCCCAAAGCTCCCTCAGTGCAGTGTGTATAGAAGAAGTAAAATCATCCACTATCAACCATATCTTACTCACATAGATAGTGTTGGCAGACGTAGGCAGTATGTCGTTGGCCCATTCAAGTGATCCAGATCGAGGTCTATGCTAATTAGATCAATGTCGTTCCAACTAATATCAAGTCTAAAATATTTTGCAATTCCTTTATACGTATTCCTTACATATATCGTCTAAATTTATAATATTAACAATGAAAGTCTGGCTTGAAATTAAAATAATTAAAGAAAGCGCTGTTGTGCTACCATTTAAATGCAACACTAACTCATGTACACTTTCTCATGTACATTGTGCAGTGGAAAATCTTGTTGCTCTCTTACCTCATGGATGCCAGTCTGTCAGTGGAACGTTGAGAGTGTCTGACTGTCTGCTTAGTGCCAGACACACTTCTGCTTTCTCTCCCTTTGTTGTTTCATCACCACTTCCTGAGTCATGCCAAACATCATGCTTTTGTCTTTAAATGTGTATTATAGCCATTTCAAATCAGGGCAGAGGGCAGCCTGTCCAGCTACCTTTCTATGCTTTTTAAAGAGATGTGCACACACGATCACTGCAAATTGCTAGAAGAGAAGATCACATTTGTAGTCGCAGCACTTCTCAGCAGGTTTCAACAGACGACATCACATCTCGCCGATCCTGGCCTCTCTCCATTGGCTCCCCTGTTCGTTTAAGAATTTATTTTGAGATTTTACTGATCGTTTTCAAAGCACGTCTGGGTCTGGCCCCAAGCTACATAGAAGTATAGAAGAAATGTGACCCCGTATGAGTCAAACCGCATCGTCAGATCTCCAGGTGACTGTTCCAAAGTCGGGGTTCTAACTGAAGGTGACTGTGCTTTTGCCATCAGGGCCCCTCGTCTTTTGAACGACCTGCCTGAGAAAATCTTTTTTAAATGACTTCTTAAAACTCATCTTTACAGACTGGCTGTCATGTGATGTTCATGTTATCTTTTTACTCCTTTTATTCGATTTTATTTCTACTCATGTTTATTGCTTTTGTTGCATTTTCTTTTGATTTGTATTTATTGCATTGATTTGATTTGCACAGTTTAGTTTTAGTTGTATCTTGTCTACAAAGTTATTATAAGAAAATACAATAACTAGAGCTGAAACGATGAATTGTTGCCTTTTCTCTGTTTTCAGTGTAAACTGAGTATCATTTTGTTTTAACTGCTTTTACCAAGAAAGATTTATTATTTGATTACTCAAAAAATAAGCCTCAACGCGGTAATTGAAATAATCATTAGTTGCAGCCCAAATAATAATATAAGAACAAATGATAAAAACACTTACAACATTCATACAGTCAACAAGAATAATTGGAGAAACAAGAATAAAGAGACGTAAGCTGCTCTGGGAGACGGTGCTTAGCCACAGCGGTGGTTTCTAGTCTAAATGCCAACATCAGCATGCTAACATGCTCACAATGACAGTGCTAACATGCTGATGTTATCAGGTACAATGTTTACCGTGTTGACCATTGTTGTTGTTCACTAAACTTGAAGCTGAGAGATAGAAGACACGGTGACTTAGTTTCCATCTCTTCATCATAAATAAATGTAGGAGTGATCATCTTCATAACGCATGATGACTCCAGTACTGGGATTTCTATACTAGTACTGTCAATAGTGCTGGTATTGGTATGAGTGTGTCTGTAGAAATCAGTCTTCCTGTGTCAAAGGGAGACCGAAAGCCGAAGCAGTTTGTTCTTTCAGATCGGTGAGAAGCTGCAAAGGCAGATTTATAGACAGTGATTGCGTTTAAGGATTTCCTGGTTTCAGGTGCTGAGATGACTTCGACGTATTTAAAGTTTGAGAAGATTGTTTTTCCTCCTTTTGTTCACATGTGAAATGCAAAACAGTTTAAACTTGAATCCTCGTCAGTTAGCAGATTTGTATATTTATGTGGAGTAAATCAGAAAGGTTTACTGTATTTAGTGTGAGATAGCTTTCATTTTTGGGAAACCATAGCCTTTATTTTCCTGGAAGTGCAAATGAAGCTGGCAGCCACACTGCCACTCACTGCTGTGACTGAGGTGAGGCCAGTGGCCTCTGTTAGAGAAACGCAAATCTATTCTAACTTTTATATATATTCAGCGCATTAATATAGCAGTGAACAACTATTATCTATGTAAAGATGTAGTGGAGTATTGTCTACCTGAGCAGAGAATGAAGTCACTCTCCCTCCGTGTGTGTGTTGTAATCTGAGATTCTCTGTGCTTTGTTGACATAGCCGGGCTGGCTGCGCATGCCTTTTAGCACCGTTAGCTGCTAGCCGCCGGCTCAGCCATGTTGAGAGCCATGTGGAGGCAATAGATATGCTCTGAATTACGTATAGAGAACCTTTATTTGGGGTCGCCACATGCATTTGAAGAATTTTCTCAAATTAAACATGTATATCTGCAGTACACCTTTGAGCCACACCAATGAGCTTGTATTTATAACATGGAATCTAAAATGAAAGGCTCGTGTACGTTCTGCTTGTTTAACTGATGAGAGGACATGTTAACTCTGCCTACATACATTTATTTGGTCTCATTTATAAAGTATAAAGTAGCAATTGCAGTAGAATGGTCAGGAACATTCATTTATACACAAATTCTCTGTTATCATGATCAATAAGACCTGTTGTGAAAGAGGTCGTGATGGTTTGTCATTTTAAAAAAGTGGGTCCTCAGACAAATAGTGTGGGAAACACTGCATTAAATGACATGGCTGCTTGTTTTATCACTAGGACTGGCACTAAAGACTGTGTTTCATATACCTAAATGCTATCTGACAAACAAAGAAAATAAATGGTTGTAATATTTAATAAATAAAAAGAATCATCTATAAATATAATTATGTTCACTGTGTTGACTCACTGGTCATGTGTTAAAACAAACACACACACACACACACAAACACACACACACACACACACACACGAGTCAGACATTTTTGCATCGTAATTATTGGATTTATTTATTCAACCTAATTCTCACAAAAATAATCGGGCAGTGACATTACCATGGTATGCTGAGGACTCTGAGGCGCTTAGAAAAAGATACAGTAACCTTACTAAAACAATTAAGAATCCCCTGCGAATAAAACAACAACAACAAACTACTCACTCGATTGCTAAACAAATTTATCCTCGCTCTAACTCTTTTTGCTCTACAAGTAGGAACAAACAACTTAACTACCCTGTTCACATACAATGATGAAGCCTTTCTAAAGTGTTTTCTTCTCATTCTGACTCTATGTTTGTAAATGGCAGAATACAAACTTGGACACCAAGGAAATATTTTAGACATGATTTGGGCTCAAGTTAAAAATCATTTGTGAAAGACTAATAAAAACCTCATTTGTATCTTGACACAGACTGACAAATAAAAGCCAACATGTGCAGAATGCTCCACATCAGCAAAAGACAAACAGCCCACAAACATTAAAAACCTATTGGGCAAGACCAAGAGAAATACAAAGTGAACGACACAGACATGCTAAGATTTCCACTGGAAGAGCCAGCCAGTTTCTAACATCAAGCCTTCAGTAGCAAGTGGACATGTTTAGCAACAATTACGAGTGTCGACAGGAGGAAATCTGTAAAACGTCAGTCAAGGGACCTGCCACAATTTTCAGCATCTACAGAGAAGCGAAAGACACGACTCAGATTAAAAGAAAGAGCTGAGAGATTGAGACGAGAGGCAAAAGAGAAACATAGACATCCAAACACACACACACACACACACACACATGCATACTAGGTGGGATGTATTGACTCTAGGAGGCGGTGAATTTCCTGAGCGTGATGACGATGAGGGCGAGAAGGACAGACGCTCCCAGGAAGACCGCTATAACAATGGCTGTGATGGCTCCTGGCCCCAGGACCCCTGCACAAACACACACATCGACACAATATTAATTATTTGAACACACACAATTGACACAGATTTGTTGCATGAAGTGTCGGGTTTTACCCTCCTCCTCGTCCAGGTCCTGAGAGTGTGTGGTGTCCTCGTAGTCGAAGGTGAAGGACTGCTCCGTCATGTCCTGGAAAGGGTCTTTGGTGGTAACGTCACTGGGTGGTTCTCCAGACATGGTGTCCTGGTTGTCTCTGGTTGTTGAGTCTGCGACTGTCTCTGCAGACCGAGAGAAAACCCCCAAAAACATGTACTACTTGTGCTTCTTTTTTAACATGGCTGATCATCTCGATGCAGTCACTTAATTCCTGCGCCGTATTGACTTTCTGCATGTTTTCTTTCGGTGGTCACTTCACTGACGACGCTCACAGCTTTGCTAATGGCTGTGTTTGACTTTTTCTTCTGGACGCGGAGGCCTCGGGGATGCAGAGCTGCACACATGGCCCCGTCTGTAATGACCCCAACAGCCTCTCTCTGTCTCGCTGGGTTAACGGCTCGGGCCTGGGCATAAGGACGTCTTTGTAGAGGATGGACGTTTGGCCCGTTTGAGCTACAGTTAGCCTCTTGGCGTGTTTCAAGGGTCCAATCAAAGCTTGTCTATAATTGTCTAAAAAAACCCTCCTTTAACCAAGGTTCGGTTCATTATTTCAGTGGAGTAGTAGGTCTTTTTTTTTTGCTTTAGCACAAACTTGCTTGAGGGAGAGGCAGTGATTTGCTGACTGTGCATGAAGCTCAGGTTGTGTACAACTGTCTCTGCCAATCAATAGTCTGTCTTCCTTCCACCCCAGATTGCCCTCTGCCATTAATCCCATCTGAGCATGAAGTTACCCTGAGACTGTTCCCTCCTCTCCAGTAGCCTGAGAAACCACCAAAATGATCATTATTGACATCTTTATAATAACTCAACAGCTGCACATCTTTCTTTTGAAATTCAGAGGAACATTTGATTTTCATGTTGTCCCCCCCAAAAAAACAACTCTTCACACACAAGCCCACCCACTCACTGATTCACGTATCCCATCCTCAACTCTTCGCATACCAACATATCCAAACATATTTGCACTCAAGTTTATTTAATGCTACATATTTACTTTGTAGCCTCAGTAAACTCCTTCACCCTCACTGTCAAATAAGCTTCTTATTATCTCTCTCCGCGATCACTAAGGAACTACTGCATATGGTATAATGATGTATTATAAAGTGTTTAACATCAGCATGTTAGCTCTGGTGTCTTCTGATGCGAGTATTTTGATGCTGCCGTGTTGACTCTTGAGTCGTGTGCAGCTTCCTGTCCCGTAGCTGGCTGGAGGTTTTGGAGGCCCGGGCCTCCGGCCAGCCCAGTCATCAATGAGGCCTTCAGCCGAGCGCACAAAAGGCAGCTTGTGCGGTCACGGAGGGCGTCGGGCTGCAACCAGTAACAACCGGCCAGGCCCAAACCAGGCACCGGCTGGGCAACTGGATGTCAAACAAACTTGTTTATTAAATAGTCCCTATGTGTAAAAGGCCGGGCCTTCTGGACAGCTTGATTTAATAAGAAGGCGAAAAATTATAACACGATGTTTCCATCGGTGTTTGTTTCCATGAGGAAGAGTTCACTCCAGCTCAATGGAATTAACATCACTGACGCCTCAAGAAAGACAAAAACATAATTCTTCTCACCTGACAGCTAGCCAGTCGGTCAGTGGCTACTTTTGTTGTCTGATGTACCGCACGGCCATATCAGATGAGCTGAAGCACACCTTCATCAACACCATCCGTCATGCTGGGTGTCACCCTCACCTGTCTACCAATCACTTCTCTCAGTTTTCACTAATTGTTCATTACCTTTAGCTAACTAGCTGTTACAACTGTGCTTCCATTACTTTTAGATAACTTTTTCAACTCCTCTCAACTGCAACACACGATGTCAACGTGGCTCAATGTACGGCAGTTCAGTTATTGTAAATTTACTAAAGACTGGTATCACACCAAATTTGCAATCCTATCTGGCTGTTTAATTGCCTCTTCAACACATGTACGTGGGTGAATCCCAATATTGCCGTTGCAAGTTTATAAGTACCCTTTGGTTGGGAATCACTGCACTATAAGTCACACTTTTGAAAGACATGACTCCTTGTGTCAATCAAAAGCCCTCCTTCCATATACACAAGTCCAGACTCATAAAAGCCTGGCAGACTGTCGGGAAGACAGATTTCAGACTCTAAGAACACAGAAGGCCATTTGTTTGGTACCTCAAGCGTCTTCGGTCAGGATTTCACACCAGCCAGAGAGATGACAAGACGCACAAGACGGGTGTGTGAAAAGCAACCTGCCCGAGCATCGAAAACCAAACATAGCATTGTTGCTGTCGTGTGTCCTTGTTTCACCCTCCTGAAATAGGTGGCGGTCGCATTTTATATTGGAAAATATCTGACATTTGACCAGCGTGTTTTGAATTTTATTCTGAAATGAGTCGGAATGGGGTTTCAAAACTAGTGATGAACCCCTTCTCTGTATTGTAGTACAAGCCTCTGTCACCACAGATAAAATAAGAGATGGCTGCAGAGTGGAAACTCAGTGTGAATTAGAACATTTCTCCTGCCTGTATTTACTGAGTCTTGTGAGGCATTGCAAATATGTTTCCACCTTACAATTGGGAAGAAAGCTGCAGGATATTATTAGAATTAGGTGTAGGCAGGTCATGGCACCTCAGTGTTAGAAACCTTGACATAGTGTTTCTTTCACAGTAGGCTTTGTAAAAGGTGACAGCCATGTTTTTTTTTTTTTCCACAGGACAGGGAGGACATTGTCGACCTGCTACATCCCCGTCGTCCCGCTGCCCTCTTGACCTGTGCTGTGGCCTCTGGACCCGAGCGCTGCTCTGCTGTGTCCTAAGCTTTTTTTTCCAAGTTGATTTGAGAGATGTCGCAAAGAGGAGCAGAAAAATACAGTAAGTGAAAGAACAGTGAGTGTGCTTATCTGTCAAGATAAAGCACGCATGCTGAGAACCAGGTGATGTTGGGCGTAAACACTTAAAAAAAAAATGTTCACAGCTGCAGACATTAAATCTGTGTCTTCTTCTTACTACCACCACTTAAATCTCTCCACCTACCTGAAATAAATTGCACACTTGTGGATGTTTCACTACCTCAAACCGATGCTACACAGAATCACTTCAACTTTACAGCGGGAGTCACAGAGGACGGCAGCTATTCACTTTCATATGAACATCAGGCACCGGGAAAGCAACTAAATCATCACGTCTGTCAAAGAGCAGCTTTCACAGCTCTCAGTCTCAACTGCATCATTTACACCGGGCTACAGTATCACATCACAGGCCTGAGTGTGAGCGAGTGTGTGTGTGTGTAAAGGAGGGCGAAAATGACACGTATACTCACGTCTTTGATTTGATGCCTACAGATGTCCAAACATCAGCAGATACGCAAACAACTAGAAGCTCTTTGAACATAAAACCTTAAACCTATCTGTTCTGCAATGTTCCACAGGACGAAGCATCGGGGTGCAAAAAAATGATCAGCATTGATTTTAAATGACCCAATTCTTCTATAACAAGAGGCTAATGACTTCACTCAGAATTTCTTGATATAATTAGTTTTCGCCTTATTTGTTAAAGAACGATTTTCCTCACATTGCACCTTTCGTTTCAAAGGTGACAGATTCTTTTTCATAAATCAGACTTATCGCGTAACCACAGAAATGAAATAAAGCACATCGATCACACTCAAAAGTAGGGTTTACCTGTGTGTACAAAGGCTACCGAGAGGCTTAGGAGCACCAGAAGGAGGAATCTACAGATGCTGCTGCTGTGAACCATGGTGGCTGTGAGGGACGAGCGAAAAGACGTTCCCAAAACTCCTTGGAACTTCAAACGAGTGGCTGACCATGGAAGAGGAGCAGGAGAAGAGTCCCGGGGAGCGCAGGAGGGGGAGAGGTAGGCAGCCGAGGGGTGGGACTAGGTGTGCACAGGACCGTCTGGACAGTGTGGACTTTGTGAGCACATCATCGAAGGGCCCACCCACTCCAAACTCCTCCGGCCACATAGTTAGGTGAGAGATGTAAACATTCGGTAGCCGCTGACCTTGGCCGGGTCACATCACGAAGGTCTCCTGCTGGACGTTTTAAGGCTTTAGTTCATCTTAAAAATTAAAAAGATGGCCGTGGTGGAGGAAGTATTGCGATCTAAAATCATCTCCCATCATGCAACTCATTAACACGTCACTAAAGCTGTCAAATACAAGTGGTGTGTATATATTTAGAGAGATAAAGAGAGACAGCCAAAGTGTACATAAGTACAGTACTTAGATCATCAAAATAAGTAAAAGTAAGTACTCCGAGTGTCAATAGTGTGGTCTCAGCTAAAGAGCAGTTAGCCTGAGAAAGTAAGGGGTTGGATTATTGCTGAGGTTTGTTTTGAGACCATCTTGAGCCACCTCATCAAAATCAGGCAAAAAAATCAGGCACTCAACCTTCACTTTGATCACAACTACACGTGTTAAGTTTCTTGACTAGATCTTGCGATGCCGTCACAGACAGAACAGCCTGTTGTACTTCCTGCTACAGTAGGCGTCTCCAAGACCACATTATTGCCACCATGTCTCGCACACAGACTCACAAAGTGAAAACAATACCAGCGTGGCTTTGACAGTGAAGGCTTTTAAATAAACGTTTCAGCTTCAGTATCGTGACCAAGTGCGTGCGCATTTAGAAATATGTTGCTTCTCATTCGAAGGGATCAGTGGGTTTCAGTTCCTCTTTGTAGATTTAAAAAAACGCGACTAATTTAATGTCAAATATGCATGACGACTCAGAGGTTGCACTTTTACTTCCTGAAAAGTTGTCAGTGTCATATTGGCGCATCTGAGCTACTGTGGGGAAAATGCATCGCATCTGCTTGACATAATGCATCTGAAAAATAGGCTTAGAGGAATTCAAAATGTTTTTCATTCATTAACATTGTGAATGCTGGTAGCTGGCTTCACTCATGTACAACACCTGGCATCGATTCATTTAATTTATACATTTCCGTCTCTTAACACTGACAACTTTTCAGGAAGTAAAAGTGCAGCCTCTGAGTCGTAGTGCATATTTGACATTAAATTAGTCACGTTTTTAAATCTACTAAGAGGAAATGAAACCCACTGATTTATTGTAGCGTGACTACTCGTGTGGGTGAATGCTTGTGAATCAAATGACGTTTGCATATTTGTAGTTTTTTTTGAATAGTTCAGACACAGGTGTGCACAGCCCAAACAGACTGTTTTATTTCATACCGTCAATAAAAAAAAAAAAGTATGACTCCAGCAGATCATTTTCATATATTATAATACAGATGCAGAATTGAAAGTTTATTCTTTAAACAGCCTAGTATTTTACAAGAAATAGATAACTACTTGGAACTTTTGATATGTCCTTAAAACAGGACATAAGTGGCCACGAATCCTTGGGCTCTACTTTGCCATCATTATCCATGAACACCCAGCAGAAGAGGAATGGGGGGGGGGGGGGGGAAATTCAACTGTAACGCTGCATTCACACTACGAGCAACGCAGCAACATTCTACAAGTCATTTTTAATGGGAGCCGGTGACATGAAGCTACAAACCGACACTTGCTGCTGCGTGACGCACTGCTTATCAAGGTGGAGCTGCTTTCAACATTTCTTAGCGCTCCGGTGACGCGATTAAGCGTCAACCGATCATGTGGTTTATTTTCACCCTGTTCTGTTCCAACTGCAAAAAAAAAAAAAATGCCGTTAGCAAGTTCCGTTTCAGGACATAACTACGTCAACGAGCACCTGAGCAACACTTGAGAGACTCGACCACAAGGTAGCAGTTTTTTTGTTGCTCGTAGTGTGAACATAGCATGGGGGGGGGGGAACTAGAAAAAAAAAAAAAAAATATAATTATTGATTAGGGACAACAGAAAAGAAAAAGAAAAAAAAAAAAAGAGGACAATCTCTCTCTAACCTTTTTCCCATAATAGCCAAACCACCCCACCCATATATCCAAACTTTAAAAAATCCCATACAACAGAGGCCAAATTTAAATGATTTGCTGTCACTGAATTTCAGGACACGATTCGGGTCCAAGCAGCTGATGCTCTGCCGACATAGACACCGCCGCAGACCTCTCCAGAAACTTGAGTTCATTTGGTGACAGCTCTCTCTCTCGGCTGGTCGGATGTTTCACTGGCCAGTTTGCTCCGGTCCATTTCTCCCGAGGGTTGTTATCAGAGTATAGGTCCGTACGCAATTGGAAAACACACCCTGCCTCAGAGATCATCGTTTGTTCGCAATTTGGAATTTATGAGAGATTACCAGAGTATGTCTGATAAATGTGAAACTGAAAATAAAGGTGAAACTTGTGGAAGCTGTTGGGGGGTGGGGGCGTAGCAGGGGGTTCCGGGTAAAACAGCTGCTGTTCATATCGGATACAGTCAGTTGGAGTTGCTTGGCCGCAGTCCCTAATCAGTCCTCCAAAGTCTCAATCTCTCCCATATTCAATCTCTCAGATGCCGCATTCACAGAGAAACCTGAAACAAACACAAACAAAGATCCAATTAGCAGGCGAGATATAAATAGCGGTGACACATCGTTACAGGTTTTTTGGATTTAGCAGCTGGGTGCTCGCTCTCACCTAGAAGGCTGGGGTCTGCACGGACCATCTTCTGCTTCTTTTTCTTCTTCCCAGAGGTGACCGTCTCAAAGCGCTGCTGCTGCTGCTGCCCGCTCGTGTGGTTGGACTGATGGAGTGACGAGGATCCTGTTCCACCCCATACAGAATCCTGTGCAGAACGCCAGCAACGTCAGAACGTTACTACTCGACTGGATGTGGTCCCAGTAAATTATGATTTCATTACCAATTAAAATGTGGAAAAGAGGGAACCCAAAACCACTAATGTTTGACGGTTGGTTTGGCTTTTTCTAATCACATTACAAGATGAAAAATGGGACGAAAACATCTGGCACCTCCTGCTGAGCCTTTAACTCACTGGTACCACTTCAGTCTTGCTCACCTGCTGCTGCTGCTGCTGCTGCTGCTGCTGCTTGAGGGTTTGCTGTTGGCTCTGCGGTGCCGGTTGGTTAGCGTTCTGTTTGGCACGACGTTCCAGGAACTGCTTGGCAAAGTCCTTGGCCTCGGGAGTGTCCCCCAGATAGGCCCTGACATAGTCGTGCACCTCGTACGGAGAGTCCACTTCTTTCAGGAAGGATGCAAACGTTGGAACTGGCAGGGAGACGGATGGAGAACATTTGGGAGTTTGGCTTACAGAGATGTTGATCAATAGCTGTGGGTGGACTGCTTGTGCAAAGCATATTTTTAAAAGTCTCACCATCCAGATTGTTGGCCGTGTTGAGGGTGTGCAGAGTTTGCTCACACCACAGCATGAAGGTGTCCTGCGGGTTCTTATTGACCCCTTGAAACAACTTTACCAGCTTTTCCTCCTCTTCTGCTTTCTTATTGACCCGCCCACTCACAGAGTTACTTCACAATACAGAAAGAAGGCAAAACAAAGTCATTAAGATCTGTGTATTACTCATATCCTTCATGTGGTAAGTCATGCTTCACTAGGAGGTTGTGACTAAGACATTTCTATTTTGGCATTATTAACAAATACCTGAGGTTGGCGTTGCCTTTGTTGTTCTTCTGCGAGCTGCTTTTCTTTGTTGGAGGAGGTTGCTGAACAGCTTCTTTCACCGCCTCATCCCAGAAGCCCATGTTAGCGTTGTGGGTGTCCCCCCAGATACTGCTGGAGTCTGAGCCCCAATTAGTGCAGATGCTGGTGTTCACGGATCCCCACACCGAGCTGCTCAGAGACGACGTCTGTGACGAAAGTGAGACACCGTTACTGAAATAACACTGGTTTCTAGGGTTGCAAGCCACACTACGTTTCAGTATCGATTAATCTGCCCATTACTTTCTTACATATTCAAATGAAATGAAAGCGACAGAGTAATATTTTGGACATTCAATTTGAATTTCTTAATGTCAAAATGTTGCTGAATCCAATAGAAATCCCTGCAGCGCTACATAGCTTTCATCTTCTTCCAGCCAATAAGACAGAGTATCATGTAGGTCACGTACAGTTCTGTTTTGAGTGCGGATCTGTTGGGTGACAATGGAGTGTGGTTGTTGTTGCTGTTGCTGCTGCTGTGGTGGCTGCTGCTGCGGCGGCTGTTGTTGCTGCTGCTGCTGCTGCTGTTGTTGTTGTTGCTGTTGTTGCTGCTGCTGCTGCTGCTGCTGCTGTTGCTGCTGCTGCTCCTTCCGTTGCTTCATCTGCTGGGTTTCTTCCCTTTGAATCTCCAGCAAAGATTTGGTAGCCACTGGCTGTTTGGCCACACTTCCCCAACCAGACAGCTTGGTCTGGGGCTGCTGAGCCAGTTGTAAGGCCTGCTGCTGCTGTAGTTTCAGGAGCTCCTGTTGCTGACGTCGCTGCTGCGGGGTTGAGAAGGAAAAAGGAGGACATGAATAAATAAAGAAAATGACGATATATTCAAAAAGCATTACTTTTAACTCATAGAGGCACTAAAACAGCCAAACAAAACCCGGCTGCTCGCTGCCTTTACCTCCTCCCGCGTCTGTCGTTCTCCCTCCTCTTCCAGTTTCTGGATCTCAGCCAGTGACTGGGCGCTCGGAGTCTGGTTTATAGGGTTGGCCGACTGCTGGCCCCACTTTGAAGAGGATGGCAGCTGCAGAGCAGAACAGGTGTTTTATAAACTTTAACCGCATTTTGTACCGTCTATTTCTGCTGGCTTATCATCTGTGCGCTTACCTTCATTTGTGCAAGCTGTTGTTGCTGCTGCTGCTGCTGTTGAAGTCTCCTGAGGGCCTCTTGTTGCTGCTGCCTCTGTCTCTGCAGCTCCTGCTGTCTTTGGACCTCCTGCTCTCTCCTCTTCTGCTCCTCCAGTTGTTGTTGGGCCAGAGCAGCCGCCGCTGCAGCAACTGCCGCCTCTTCCTCTGCTTGCTTTTCCTCCTCGCGCCTCCTCAATGCCTCAAGTTCCTCTTGCTTCCTGCGCTCCTCTTCCTGGAGAGGTAGAGGACATGGCACTCTAGAGAGACATTTCACAAATCCAGAAAGGAGGTAGGAAGTGCGTGACATTTCATTCGCTCACCTGTTTGCGGAGGAACTCTTCCCGTTTATTTCTCTCCTCCTCTTCCCTCCGCCTCTCCTCTAATCGACGGAGAGCTTCCTCTTGTGCCATTCTCTCCTCTTCCTCTTTCTGTCTGCGCTGTGCCTCTTCTTGCTCTTGCTGCCGTCTTAATGCTTCCTCCTAGCAATGTACAAAACGGGGTCAGTTCTCAGCGCAGTGAAACAGTAGCTCAAGGGCTTTGTGTGCTTCAGATCGATATTGTTTGAATGCTCAACCTGTTTTTGCCGGGCCAGCTCCTCTTCTTGCAGGCGTTTCCGTTCCTCCTCCTGTCGAGCCCTCAGGGCCTCCTCCAGGCGTTTCCTCTCCTCTTCCTTCCTTTTGGCTCTCATTTCTGCCTCACGCCTCTCCAACTCCAACTGTCAGATGAGAAAATAAAACACCCCCCCATGATATTATCTGCAGAGATGCGACATCCTACATCTTAAAATCATAGATTCATCCGCCTAATAACTATTGTAATGCAATCTTATTTCACCTTTCAAATCAAGAAACATTTTGTTTTTCAAAAAACACTCAATGGATGCTGCGGTAACCAAGACTATTACAGGTTTAAAAAGAGAAAAGTGAGCAGAAACACTGTTTACCTTTGTAGACTTTGACTTCTCCAACTGTTGCATCTGCTCGATGGTTGGAGCCTGTGCCATGGAGTCTATAGGTAAATCCCACACGCTGCCGCCGTCCCACGCTGTGGAGAGTGATACAACACGATGCATTAGACCTGTCATAACACCACATAGACGTTCTCTGTCCCCCTCATGTGACTCAAGAAGAACCAAACACTGCAGAACATTTAAGGTAGACCTCACTGTTTGGAGCAGCTTGTTGTATGTTTGGTGTGCAGGAAGCCTGAGAGGACGGGTTCTGCATTTCCCACACAGAACCAGAGTCTGGTACAGACAGGGGCCGGGTAACGGGAGGTAGGAGGCTCTCAGATGCTCTGCAAAAACCCAAGAAGATATGTGTATTAATATACATGCAATACTCTTTACCTCTTTCTCAACACTGAAGCACGGGTACAGATGTATTCAGAGGTAGCATATCAACCTCAGCTTGAGAGCCTGGTATTGCTGTAGAAGCAAGTTGATCTGCTGTTGGTGTTGTTGCTGCTGTTGAAGAGGAGCTGAGCTAAGAGCTGCAGCTTTCTGCTGAGCCAGGGCCTGAGCATACTGCTGCCTGAACACAGAAATGAGAGACAAACGGGAGTTAGCATTCGAAAGAATAGCAGAGAGAGAGTGTGTGTGTGTGTGTGTGTGTGTGTGTGTCATCATGGCAAAATGTGGTCCTGGAGACACCTACTATAGCTGGTACTACCACTAAAGTAGTTTTGAGTATTGAGGTATTTTATATGTCTGTCTTTGAACAGGTTTCGTCACTGCGATAGCGTCACAACCGAGCAAGACGCAGTCATCAAGCGTTACAGGTGTGTAGCTGGCCTCAAAGGTGGGTGTGGTTCAAGCAAAAGTGTTGGAAGTAAGGGTGTAAGGAAGCCCCTGGACCAATTTGCCATTGCGACTGGTGTGATGCCAATGCAAGATGCTTTCTAGATTACAATCTGCAATTAATGTGATTAAAATGTTCGGTGTTTTACAAATCCATTTGGGTCATTTTCATGCGTGAGCCGTACTTGAACTCTTTAACCTATTTCTGCATTAAGTCCAGGAAGTTTGTAAATTAGTATATTTGGACATTTGTCATTATGACACAAACAATCATGCTGCAACTGCAAACAAAAAAAGTGTCAGATGTGAGCCTGCTGTACCTGAGGAGGTATTGATACTGGAGCTGCTGTAACTGGTAAAGATTGAGAGCAGTGAGCTCTTGCTGCCTCTTCAACCTCTCTTTATCACCATCCCCCTGCAGTACATAAGAAGACAATCGGAATAAATCACAGCATTCAAACAAGCAAAAACAAGGTAGCTACAAACAAACAACAACAAACTATTTTAAATCATGTGTAGAAATGTCTGAGACGCTTTTCTTTGTTGCTTTAAGAGAAGGACACAGAGTCAGCGAGAAGAAGGGTCTGAAAACAATTAGGACTCATATAAAACATATTATGAGTAGAAAGAGTGGAATACCACACCACCTGCAGGTCATGGCTAGTAATGGCAACTAATATTAGACTTTGGACATGAGGAATGAAACAGTCATTTAGCAAACGCATACCTGTAGAGGTGGTGGTGCAGGGCCGGGGGTGAACGGTACTCTCCCCCAAATCTTCATGATCTCTCCAAGCGCCTGAAATACTTCGTCACATCCTCTTTTGACTAAGAGAGACATTGTGAAGTAACCAGCCTGGAACCACTCGGCCATCTCCTGGTTACTGAATGGACCTGAGGGAGCACAACAAGGGAGCAGAGTCAGGGGAGCAGTGTGGAAAATAAATGCGCAGCATTCACGTCACATTTTGAGCACACAGAACCTCTTCCCGTCTCACCCTGGATCTCCCCTTGGGGGTCTTTGTAGAACCACTTGAGAGCAGCCTCATGGGTGAGCGGCAGGCCTGCAGGTTTGGGCTTCTTTGAAGTCTTCGCTCTGAGTCTGTTGTCGTCCACCACACTATCCTGTAGGTATGCTACCATCTTTTCTGCCTCCTGGGGAAAAGTTGGAGCGAAGACACAGCGAGAGAATTTTAGAAAAGATATTGCATTCTACAGCTTCCTGCTTCCTTTTAGCCGATTGGTCGGCTAACTGGTTGCTGGGGTTAGAGTGGACAGAAATTGTATGAATTTTTTTATGGTCTCTTAAAGTAAATGTACGGGTAGTTAGAGCTCAGTTATAATATTCACAAAATAAGCTTTCCTTTTTGACGAGTGCAAGATTTTAAGAGGTCCTTGAAATCAGCCAAAGATCATTTATGGAATAGAGGATAGCCCTCCTATCTTACGACAGATTTTCATGTACAAATTCTACTAACTTACCTGCTCAAAGTGTTTCAGTCTTTCATCTTCATCATTGTCGTGTCGCACAGCAGTGGGCCTTCCAATAGGCGCCATTAAACTTGAAGGGAAGGGCAACGGATTGTTCATTGCCACAGGAACCTCCAGAGGCTTCTGCTGTAGCTGGACGCTGGGCGATGGAGCAGACACTTCTGTACAGAACAGCATGAGGAGAAGGCAGAAATTAGGTTTGCCTCTAAAACCAACTGGGGGAAAAAAATAATTAATATTTACAGTGAAATTGAAGACTCAAATCCCACCTTGGGCAAGGGTTGTAATGTGGTTCATGGGTAGGGACTCGAGCATGCTGTTAGACATGGGGACATGCAGGGGGGCTTTGCAGGGCTCTGGTGGGAGCTCCAGGGATGGCTGCCGTTCAGCGGGCCTCTCAGCCTCTTCCGTTCTGTTGGGCTGGATCAGGGCCAGAGACTGGGCAGGAACCTGGGGCTCTGAGACAGGTGGGCAAGAGGTGGAGCCACAGGTAAAGCCTCCTCCGACGCTCTCAACAACTCTAAAATATATTATTAATAATAATAATAATAATGGCAGACATAAGATGGTACCATAACTAATAGAGCTGTGACCCTCAACTTAATATAAAAAAAAAGAAAAAAAAGGAACAGTTTTCATTGTGGTTGATGTTGACGTAATTCACAATGAGCATGAGAACCTCTTCCACATCGGCCATTTTCCTTTTCTTTGTTCATGCTCGCAGGCTTTGATTGCTTTGAAATTGCTGACGGTAAATTGTTATTTCATCACGGCGGTTGGTGGACAAAGCAGCCGAGCAATCCATTGTGTCTTTTTGTGTCCTAAACAACAAACACTGGCTTGTGAATCTTATGTCAGTAATAACTGCGATGTTACAGTTACTGTACCGTTTCAAGAAGATCATTTGGGCCACATTCTGGTGTCAAGGGAACAAATTGGCATCGACCACAAACAGAATACCGTCTACTAGCTGTAGACAGAGGGCCGAGTAATGCTTACATGAGATTAGTATTGATTTTCTCATACATAGATAATGAATATTTGAAACCGTTTCGAGAAGCATTCTCTGCAGTCGTAGAAAAGTCATATTGTCATGTTATAGCCTTGTTATATTTATCTTTTAATGAATACAAAAATGGTATGCCTTCAGTGTTGTGTAAACTTTTTCCTGTGGTATTGAAAATGGTATAAAAACATAAAGTCCTCCTGCACAACACTGCATGTGTTGCAAGTATGCATTTTCTTTTGATCAGTTAAACGTGTCAAAAGTAAAGCGACAGAAAATGTTCTCATGTTGTAAATTTGGTCAAAAGGGCCCCACGTTCAAAAAAACAGCGTCTCTGATGCTTTTTTGTAGCTGAACTAAACTTCTCACCACAATGTAGAAAGAGGCTGAGGAAGAATTTAAGACAAAGTCTTATGAAAGTAGAATTCAGATTCTTGCACGACGTTCATTTGACTTCTTATCTCTGCTTGTCCTACAACATAGAAAATAACGCAAAAAGCACTCAAACTATCTGACCTTTTCGTTCGGCCTCTCTCTTGGCCTCTGCTACCCTCTCTTTGGTCTCCCTGGGCTGACCGTCGTCCTCCTCCAGGCCCTCTTCACACTCTTCCAAGGGTTTGAAGTCCAGCTCTCCCTCCTCCAGGATTGGCTCCTTGGAGGCTTTCTGAATACACAAGAAAAAAAAAAACCACAATACCGGTCACTCTGCCACCCGAGACTGAAAGATTTATGGAATGCTAATAGCGTCTCGTATTGTAGCTCGCAGATTTCTTGAGAACCGCTCATCCGAACAACTTCACAATCGACACTGCGCTTCTGTGGGTCCTGATTAATACACCTGCCATGGTATAGTTGCCTCCCCAGCAATGCTAGAGTATAAATGTGGGTGCAAAACCTCACACCAACATCGATGGGGCCCCCTCTCAATATACAACCCGGTGTGTATTGAGAGGGCACTACTAATAAATATGTCCCATAGATCTTAAGCGTTTGCACTCGACACTGCACTCCCTCAGCAATACATCCGTAAGTCTAAGCACAGACAGCACAGTTCAATAAATGGCACATCGACGCCTACTTTCAAAGTCTTTGTCATACATTGATTGATTTAACCAAAACTCTACTCTGACCTTGAGTGAGAGAAAGGCCCCCGATGAGTCGAAGGTGCCCGCCTCCTCGTCCGCGTCCTCCAGACACCACTCCGGCAGGCTGTCCCTCTCGTCCTCAAAGCTGCCGCTGCCCGACCGCGGCCTCCTGTAGCCGCGCTCGTCTTCTCTCGCATCGAATGGGAAGCGACGTCGCTGGTCCGGGTGTTCCCGCCACCCTGCTGACCGAGGCCCATCTGATTAAAATATTTCATATCGACATCTTGAATCGCATGAGCTACCTTAGCGTCATCAAGATGGGAGTAAATGTTTGGCCACCAGTACTGCATCCACATACAATCACACATGGTAACAGTATGATTTTGAGCATGTGCATTAAGAGGGACCAGTTCACCTTTGAATCGTCTCTCTTTCACAAAACTTGAGCCCTTAATTGGTACCGGTTATGTGTCATATCATGCTGAAAGCAAAGCTGACAAACCCGTCACTAAACCAAAAGAAAAAGTGGAGCTGAACCCATAAGACAAACACAGCAGGACACCACAAATACATGTATCAAAGATAGACGTATTGGTAATATGGTCGGTGCTGTGCCCACCTGGGCTCAGGGGGCACCACCGTTCACTGTCCCGCCGAGACCCTGCCAGGCACCAGCCCCCCTCATCATCCTCACCATTCTGAGCAGAGCGCCAGTTCTCGCTCTCTGACCGCGTGAAATCGATCTTCCTCGGTAGGCCCGTCACACCATCCTCATAGTTGCCACGGACTACAAAGAGTAGCGGGATGGTTAAAGGTGAAGCCATCATTAATACAATGATTATCAAACTCACTTTACCTAATCTATCAGTTAAAAAATAAATTAACTGTAATCAAACATGTCACTAAGACCAACTGAAATAAATCTGAACTCAATGGTCAATTATTAAACTACGAAGGTACACTTACTGTGATTCATCGGAAAATGTCCCGGGGCAACCTCTGCTAGGGTGACAACACAACAAGTAAATAAACCAGTTCATTTGACATGTATTGATTATTTGAGCTACAAAATGTAACACCAACCTGGGTCTTTTCGACCTGGCTTTTCAAACCTTCTCTCTCCCCTGGTGAGAAAAAAAACAAAAAAAAAACACCACAATATGTAAAGTTATTACAAAAATGAGTTTCATTTCTGTCTAGAAAAAAAAAAAAACGCTCATATTGAACACCTGTACATGGTCCAAACAAGGGCAGACTTTTACAACAAAACTCCACAATTGTGCATTTCAATACCTTTCTTCCCAGCTCTGGGAACGATGCATCTCCCTCGCTCCACGACCAAAAACTTCCACATCATCAAAACTTCTTTGGTAAAAACCTCCATCTCCTCTTCCCCGGCCTGAAAACAATCACAGGTTGACGTGACTTAGTATGACCTGAAGGGGTCAAGTTGCCATTGACTGTGTGCTGCTACTGAGCACGAACCAGCCTTTAGGTAGGATAGTTAAAGTTGCACTCAAAGATCAAACGGCAGCAGAGTGTTTTCCACAAAAGACGATCAGAAAGTCTGAACCCACCCTCTACAGCCATTAGTCACTGGTGAATACGCACAGATATCCGATGATGTACCATAAACCCACTCTTGTGGTTTTTAATTAATTTATCCGCTCAATTATTCATAGACAATACCCTCCAACAGTGACATAGCAGTGAGGCTGTGGTATTCTCACAGCGTGTATCAGATGACAAACAACAATATTGTGCACTACTGTTAACATCTGATCTTTTTCCCTACGTACCGTTTATAATAAAACCCTCTATATGACATGGCTTTTTGACCAACCTTCAATTTAGGCGGTTCAGAAAAAGTGACTGGATAACTAAGTTCAGTTGAAGTACATAAAAGCCTACACAGAGATGTTAAGAGCTGCTACTGCTGATTGAACTCTACCCATTGTCTGGACCTAAAGCTGGGAATGTGACCTGTGAAGTTTACTAACAAACACATTGGTTGTATAGATATGAATAGATATGAATGGTGATGACGCAGCAAAAAATAAAAGTCACACCGACACACACGCAGCACAGTTAACGAGGGGATCCTCCCACATCAAGTGACTATCCCTAACCTACCAAGCAGACTGAGAAAAAAACCACCTGTCGAGAAGGGTAAAACTATTTTTTGCTAATCGTGAAAACTCGGCACATTTGACTATGTAAATGTGGTCGAAATCATCACTGGAACTAATGCAAATGGACTTTCGGATTGACAGAAATCTTAAAAAACAAGAAGGAATGAATAGTCAAATACGACATGTATGAACATGCAAATCCAACTAGAAAAAAAATAAATTCAAACGGATACAGCCCTAGTAAATGCCAATGACTTTGCAGCATCATGATTCAGCTCTTGAGAGTTGGTCAGTAAGTTATAGCCTAAATGTTTTAGTTGGTCTGTACCAACCACGGTAAAGAACAGGAAAGATGCCACTGTACAGAAACAAGACACTCATTTATTTTCTGTGACCAGAACACAAAACCTGGGCCTTCCAACAGAAGTACTTCTCTGAACCCAGTCTACACAGCTCTGTACCATACAGCTCTGTACCATACAGCTCTGTACCATACAGCTCTGTACCATACAGCTCTGTACCATACAGCTCTGTACCATACAGCGTGCTACTAGCAGTTATTTTTCAATGTTTGAGACGCATCAATAGTTCAAGCAGCTGCGGAAGAGTATGCAGAGTAAGCAAAACACCTTCAGAGTGCTAATATAACATTCCTTGTCTCAGTTGGGGGGATACTTCAAAAGGCATCTCAACTATCTGCAGTTGTTGTGACTTCTGAAACTGCATAGACAGAAGAGCTACATGAAATAAAAAAAAAAAAAAGGAAAAATGACGAAATTCTCACCTCTACCCCTTGAGGTACTTCGGCCTCTTGGTGCCCCTACTATGGGCCCACCTCCTCGTCCGGTCAGCCGAAGTACAGCTGCACTGTTTACAGACATGGAAAAATTTCTCTGCAAACACAAACGGGGGAGGGGAGCGAGGGGGACAAAACGTAAGCTCTTAGCTCTCCTCTTTGCACCGGAACTGTATTTTGGTACCTTTATTGCCAAAAGTACTTTATAATCCAATAAACTACATTAAGGAGCCAACTGGCCTGAGGGCAATATATATATATATTTATATATATATA